ATTGCATAAAATTAGGTTTCCTTCAGAAGAGATTTTATCATTTAAAAGTAGATATGGAAAAACAATACACATAAATCCCCATGTCTACTTCTTAATAAATAGCACTGTATATAGTTTTTAGCGCATTTTTGGAAAAAAATACGCTATTATATTCATTATGGCTGGCTGGCTGTCCGAATGAGATCTCAGTAATTACAATAGCTAGAGATTTCAAATTTTCACTAAAAGCTTTCTGTTATAGTGTAGATGTGCAGGCTCTAGTCTGTTTTGAGTTAGATTACTCGTGAGATAGATAATTTTAAACTTTGCTAATGAAATACTGATCTCCATTAACAAAAATGCGTTTTCATCATGCATATGCTGATTTACAACTTGGTTAATAAATTACGACAACGAAAACATGACATGGGCTATCTAGAACTTCAAGGTTTTAGAATTAGAAGTGGACACTCTACCGTTTGTAAATGTCCCCTAGACAAAGAATCAAGCGGAACCAAGTCTAACAAATTTGCGGTTGTGGTTACAAAATTTCATTTAAATATCTTAACTTGTCTGCTTGAGTTGAGGTTTAAGGAATATTTACTGACACAGAAAACCGGGCATGCATATACAATAGCGATCTTTCTTATATCCTTAAGAACATATGTGTACCAATTTTCAAAGCAATCGGACGTTTCTAAACAAAATTATCATGCATACGGACAGACGGACAGACAGACAGCAGTACAAAATTATAAACGTTCTTGAGGATCGTTAATATTAATAATTGGGTTGTTACTTTGTAACGAGAATTTTATGACTTTTAGAATGAAGTGTCACCCACTTCATTCATTCCTAAATCAACTTTTAAAGGACATTTGATGGGCTCGAATCACAAAGCTAAAAGTGGTACGAAAGCATTAGGTCGACTAACTGCTTTTAGTACACGGAGAAAAATGTATGTTAAAGGTAATTAAAAATATAATAATAGCTATCAAAAAATATAATACGTATAGGGATAGCTATGAAGAATTATAAAATTTATCATATACATATTGTTGCAAGTGTATAGCTAGTTTTACTATATGTATATTGTTTTAACTCATACAAAAAAACTGTATGTAACGGCAACCATCTCATATGCATGCTTTTGTAATACGGGAGTAGTTGAATTAACATCTCCGCTTTGTATTAATAAGTAACTTAGATTAGGTATTGCAACTAATTAATATACACACCCTGCCAAAAATCGACTGCACCAAAATTTTCCGGGAATTCTTATTAATTTTGGTGCGTAGAATCCAAAACAATTCGTACTTTTTCGATGAGACTTCTCAATCAAAAGTTATAGACTAGAAACCAATTTCGAAAGAAAATTCAAAGGGCTGTAACTTTTGAACTAATAGCCCAATCTTGGAACTGTTTGAAATTATGGATTCTACAGGCCACATTCTATAAGAAATTTTTTTCCGGGTCGATCTGAGACAATTTTTTTTTCGGGGCTCAAAAAAGGCAGTGTATAACCTTCCTTTTTTACCAAAAATCGACTACACCAAAATTTCTCGGGAAACACTTTTTCTTATTAATTTTGGTGCGTAGAATCCAAAACAATTCGTACTTTTTCGATCAGACTTCTCAATCAAAAGTTATAGACTAGAAACTAGACTGAACCCATTTATTGAAGTTGAAGCCCATCCAGGAAAAGAAGATCGATCTAGTTCCGAGTCTAGTTCTTGATATGGTCACACGACACGTACCTACTAAAAATTTAGAGGCATGGCGTCTTTCTTTTGCAATCGGCGTAGGGGTTGAACGATGGATGTATATGAACATGTGGGATTGGCTGTTACCTATTCCAGAAATATACGACGTATATATGTGCTTATTCTGATTTGGTTGGTACAATTTAGCGAACTGGTTCGGTGTTTCTAAAAATATTTTTTTAATTGAATTAAAAGTCTACACGAACGCTTTTTTGTTCCAAGTAGGTAGTTTAGTGATCGTTAATGTCCAGTTTCGAATGAATTAGTCAATCAGTTGCCAATATAGATCAAAATATGTTATGGTGGTACCACAGACAACATACCTACCCCACCTTTACCCTATTCTCTAGATTACATAGCTAAACATTTATGTATTTATTACAAACATTTAATTCGTCTTTACATAGATGAAAAAAAGTTATACATGTTCATAGAGGCCCTAAATAAAACGAATAGGTACTCGCTAACGCATTGAATTAGGTAAAAATAACCAGCAATTCAAAGTTTGTTGCTTCAAATTCAAATGAAGACTCGCTTGACTTATTCCAGATGGACGAAACAGTAAAAATATTGATGAAATATTCTTTACTAACATTCCCAATGTTTTGTTTTTGCTTCTCCTACATTTACTACCTCGAATAAATGTTTGAATGTAGCGATGTTATTTTTCGAAAGAAATCTGTATCTATACAATCGTTTCGGCAATAAGTTTTATTTATTTATTTAATTAATGAAATCGTTGGATGAGAGAAAACGCCAAATTGCTGTTCTTCTTTAACCAAAGACCAAGAGACCTACCTTATCTTATTTTTTGCAATTGTTCTTTCTTCCTCCCATCAAAATTTTCATCTGTTTATGAAATGAGTAGGGGAAATAGGAAAAGGAATGAGCTTGATATGCCCCAAACTGAATTTTATGTCTTATATGTTTTTGCTGGGTTTCGATAGAAAAGCCTCCATCATGTAGGCTGCACATGTGCATGATGAACATTATTATTTTGTTTGGTTGTGATGTACAAAGGGTTGGTACTCACTGCCCATCAGTTATGAAAAAGTTCTCGGTACAAGCTGAGAAATAGATCTATGCATCAAAGAAACTTTAAATTAAGTGCTCCCTTTTCAAAGAGGAAGAGAAACCCACGTAAAGGAAGTCAGGCCAAAAAGCGCGTGGTGCAAATGCATTGCACATCTGGCTTTTGAATAACGTTGAATAGACAACAAAAGGAGGTCGTAAATAACTCTTTCGGAAAAGAAAAATCGAAATTTTTCACAAAGAAACTTACCCTCTCTCTTTCGTAGCTTTCAAAATTACTATACCGCGCCGGTCTCTCGTATTTCCTCTGTCCATTGCTGTTGTTAGAACTATTCCTCTTCTTGTGATGAGATCCTCCAGTGAACATCATTTTCACAACTTATTTTAAATGTAAATGCGGTTTCCGTAAAGTCACATTCTCACACTTATTAAAACACGTTGGAATGGAGGGCTGAAGTTTACCGTAATTCATAGTACTTAATATAGGCGCACAGTTATAATTTCAAATAAATGCAATAATTTAAGAAAAGGTTATTTACATTACTAAACACGTACGTTATTTTTAATAAAGTTTAACGATTTTGTACCTACTTTTAACGTAATGAGTAAGGAACGAGGAATTTTCTAAAATTGAATCAATATTTATAATTTTTGTGAAAATGTTTAAAAAACGTATGTAATTCGAGATATGTACAAAAACCAAGCATTTCACTCTTGACAAAATAATGTACTTAATAATACCACGATAACGAGTTAATCGCACGAGATTTACGCTCGCTTATCTTTTGTTGTATCTTACACATCTAAAATGTTCACAAATTAATTACGGTTTTTGTGCAATTCCCCGGTATAAAACACACAAGTTCGTATCACACTATTTAGTCACTTCATTTTAACGCAACTATGCGCTTTATGTTTATAGGGAACGTCGCGTGAAGCCTTTTATTTTTAGACAACTCCTTAATCTAAAGAGTTAGCATAAGAATATTCCTTTGCATTAAGCACGTGCGAATTTTTGTACAATTTTCGCACATTAGAATATAAAAAATTGCAAGGGCTCAGTTTGGGTTTTCGAGATTTACTTTTCTCGCAAATTATACGGCCAACTACTTATTAAGTATGATGGTCTCATTACCGTTTTTAAATACCTACTCAATACAGCATTAAATCTCAGTCCAAAAACGCGCTTTTTGCTGTTTTTCGATTTGAGTTTAAATTTCGCGGCGGGGGTTAGGTTGGCAGCGCTTGCGCCGCTAGTGCGTTAGTGTGGCGAGTGAACTAAGTTGGCAATATTGTTCTTTGAAGTTTGAAGTTGCAAGACGAACCTTTACGTTATTTGGCAAAATGGTAAGTGTGTATTTAGTTTAATATTCTAACTTTATTTTAATCATCCGCTTTGTCTTTGAGTAAATGACTAATTAATTGTTTACGCAGTAACGTATGAAACGCAGTTTTGCTATAAAGTTTGTTTAAAATGGTAGTTCCAATTTTGTGTTCTTTGTAGGTTAATTTTATAATTTGGTTTTAGACGAAAGGTACCTCCAGCTTTGGTAAGCGACGCAATAAGACACATACGCTGTGCCGTAGATGTGGTAGATCGTCTTACCACATTCAAAAGTCCAGATGCGGTCAGTGCGGATACCCTGCTGCTAAAATGCGATCCTGTAAGTGAATAGTGTGATTGGTGGTATAATTAGTAGCTAATTGTTGTCTTTTTAGTTAATTGGTCTACTAAGGCCAAAAGGAGGAAGACTACTGGCACCGGACGTTGCAGGTATCTTAAAGTGGTGCGTAGACGTTTCAGGAACGGTTTCCGTGAAGGACTGCCAGCTCCTGCACGTAAAGGAACTAAGACCACATCTTAAGCTGTTAGTTTAAATAACGACATTTATTAAAACATTTTATAAAATCAAATTGCGTTTTACTCTGCTTAAAAGACACTACTAAACGGTTATGCATGGCTACGATTTGTATGTATCCACTTTCAAAATTTTAAAGCTTATGCTATGAAATCATGGACCAAGAAGTGGAATTATAACTGTTTTGTCCTTTACAATAAGTAATAAAAATTTTATGCAATCTTTACAGAACACGCTTTTACTTATGTACTTAAGATACCTGTTTTTACAGCTTTTTATTAACAATGAATTCAAAGAGTAAAATCTGTTAGGGAAGAAAATATTTCCATATAAAGCCCTTAGCATTAAAATCCCCATGGTACGTAAACCATTTTTACACCCTGTATATACCTATACAGGGTGCATTTTATTTCTTGAGTTTTGTAAGCATGCACATTACACAATGAAGGTTTTACAAAGAAATTCCTTGGATTACAGCACTATTTTTATTACAAAATTACAATCATGTGAAAGAATATTACTTTCCTCGGTTTTATAATCCTCAAAGGAATATTTTAAATACTAAACAATTATAAAAGATGGACACACAAACTAGGCCTACGTATTGTAACAACAGAGATTAACCTAATTGAAACTGATGCACATTATTATCCTGATACGTGTATATAACGGTTTCTGCAGGTCCATTTTCTGTTGTCATAACAGTCCCGGAATCTAAAATGCATCTCACATCATTTGATTACGAGTGATTTATCACCAAAGTAACACACTTACTAAACGGATCTTCTGGCACCTCTTCGTACAAGATTTCAGAAGAATGTAAACTTTTTTCCGTTTTAGCGGCCTGTAAAATACACTTAAAGGCTATAAGTCATTTACACAAATGAAATACCGACCTCTCTATACTTTTGCAGGTAAATTTTAAGGGGATCCACGTAATTATCGAAACCCAAAGTGCTCATGGCGAAAAGTACATCTTCACCGTTAATCGTTTTCCGTTTTTCCATGTGACACCTATCGCTCGCCTCACTTGTGATAAAGCTGATGAACTCTGACACGCATTCCTGTACACATTCTCTGGCGTCTTTGGCGATCTAAAAATTCCGCATATAGCCCCTGATCACTCAAAGTTAGGTAATACCTTGCCAGTTTCAGGAATGGCCTTTTTCATTATCTTGGCGACATTAGCTATAGGCAGAAAGCGATCTTGCTCGCGAAGCGGTGCTCCCAACTTATCCGTAGCGTCATGATTTGAATCGTCCGTATTTTCGGCAGTCAGCTGATCATCTACCACAAGTGAGAATTAAAAAATCGTACTGTGTATTTCCGTAAAATTACCTTCAATATCATCCGCATGAACCATATATCCTTGATCTGTAAGAAATGTGTGACCAATTTCGTCGACAATTTCCGTTTTTTCCATTTGCAAAAATTGTGAGCTAAAATTGCAGTGACTAGTGTCTTTTCAAACAAAATTGGACTTACGGCTGTATTGCTGCGTTAACAGTAATAATAATTACTTGATAATAACGCAATTCTAACAATAATTTTATGTATTCACGAAATAAATAAACAAATAAACTTTACACTTTTTTGACAAACGTTCACCGGACTTTTTGACAGTATGTTCCTCTTCAGCTGAACTCCACCTGCAATACAGGGTGTTGCATCTTAATATATGTATGAATTTTCGTCAGTCCTGAACCAAATTCTCTCCTTACTATTATTAAAACTGTACATTTTATTCCAAATAAATAAATTCTAGAACGATTACTATTCTCAATTTTAAGAGTTATAGTAGACAACCTACATAAAATAGGTCAAAGAAAATTCATTGAAAATCGACCTGTCTTAGATCAATTTAAAAATGAATATTTCTGTAAGGCGAAAACTTATTTTTCTCCGAATATAACCGCTAATGAATTATATTAAGAGGCGCAGTGGACATATTACAACTAGGATATTCTTCCTCAAGTCTCAGATATAACGATGAATGTCATGTTTAAAACAGGTGCTAGTGAAGTTTTAGGTTGTACTGAGTGCATAACTCAATTAACCTGTAATCACTATCATATTGTATCAGTTCTGCATAAGGCCCTACCACATTATTATATTAATTAAAAATCGCATTGTACAGGAAGATTTTCACTGTCCACCATTTTCGATGACCCTGTATATGCTACATACGAACTCACCTATGTGAAGTTAGCATCACATTTCCCAACGTCCAAAATCCAGTATGCGTGTATGCCTAGGCCAGTGTACAGAAATAAAAGAAGTGTTTTTTACTCGTGGGGAAGAAAGTAGGCTAAGGCCATTGATTATACAGAAGTAACTCATTCAACAAATTCTGTTACTCAGAGTAAGTAAGTACCTACCATATGACTGGGATGGGATTGTTGATAAAGCAAAACCGATTTTAACCATTTATTTATAACATTTTGTTGTTAGGTAAGGTATGGATGGAGATAATGAGACACTACTCATTAAAATCGAACCAAAACAAGAAGAAGACATCCATTGCTTTCTTCAAGGACATATTTCAGTAAGCAATGAAGTTTTGGTGACGATAAAGGAGGAAGTTACCATTAGTACGCCTAGAGGTACACCTTCTTCTAAATCTCTTTTTAATGAAACAGTACAGCAACACTCTGACTTTCAACATCGCCTTTTAACTCGGTGTAAAAAACAATTTAAATGTACTGATTGTGATTATGGGACAAATAATAAACACCTCTTCAATCAACATCTTTTAAAGCATAAATTTTCCAAAGATTTTAATTGTGCTGATTGTGATTATGGGACAAACTATAAAAACCTCTTCAAACAACATCTTTTAAAACATAAAGTTTCCAAAGATTTTAAATGTGCCGATTGTGATTATGGGACAAATTATAAAGCCCACTTTAAACAACATCTTTTGAAACATAAAGTTTCTAATGATTTTAAATGTGCCGATTGTGATTATGGGACAAATAATAAATCACTGTTCAAACAACATCTTTTAAAACACAAAGTTTCTCAGGATTTTAATTGTGCTGATTGTGATTATGGCACACATAATAAACATCTCTTCAACCGACATATTTTAAAACATAAAGTTGCTAAAGATTTTAAATGTGCTGATTGCGATTATGGCACAAATATGAAATGCGATTTCAAACGACATCTTTTACAGCATAAATTTTCAAAGGATTTTAAATGTGTTGATTGTGATTATGAGACAAATAATAAACAACTCTACAAACGACATCTTTTAAAACATAAAGTTTCTAAAGATTTTAAATGTGCTATTTGTGATTATTGGACAAATGATAAATACCTCTTTAAACAACATCTTTTAAAACATAAAGTTTCTAAAGATTTTAAATGCGCTGATTGTAATTATGGGACAAACAAGAAGTATATCTTTAACCAACACCTTTTAACACATCAGGTTTCTAACGTTTTTAGATGTGCTATTTGTGATTATGGTACAAATATTAAATCGGACTACAAACGACATATTTTACAACATAAAGTTTTTAAAGATTTTAAATGTGCCGATTGTGATTATGAGACTAGTATCAAATACCTCTTCAAACAACATCTTTCAAGACATACAGTTGCAAAGAATTTTAAATGTACTGATTGTGATTATGGGACAAATGATAAAGCCCACTTTAAACAACATCTTTTGAAACATAAAGTTTCCAAAGATTTTAAATGTGCCGATTGTGGTTATGGGACAAATGATAAAGCCCACTTGAAACAACATCTTTTGAAACATAAAGTTTCTAATGATTTTAAATGTGCCGATTGTGATTATGGGACAAATAATAAATACCTGTTCAAACAACATCTTTTAAAACACAAAGTTTCTCAGGATTTTAATTGTGCTGATTGTGATTATGGCACACATAATAAACATCTCTTCAACCGACATATTTTAAAACATAAAGTTACTAAAGATTTTAAATGTGCTGATTGCGATTATGGCACAAATATGAAATGCGATTACAAACGACATCTTTTACAGCATAAATTTTCAAAGGATTTTAAATGTGTTGATTGTGATTATGAGACAAATAATAAACAACTCTACAAACGACATCTTTTAAAACATAAAGTTTCTAAAGATTTTAAATGTGCTACTTGTGATTATTGGACAAATGATAAATACCTCTTTAAAGGACATCTTTTAAAACATAAAGTTTCTAAGGATTTTAAATGTGCTGATTGTAATTATGGCACAAATATTAAATACGACTACAAACGACATATTTTACAACATAAAGTTTCTAACGATTTTGAATGTGTTGATTGTGATTATGGGACAAGTAATAAACAACTCTTCAAACGACATATTTTAAAACATGAAGTTTCTAATGATTTTAAATGCGCTGATTGTCATTATGGGACTAATAATAAATACCTCTTCAAACGACATCTTTTACAACATAAAGTTGCTAAGGATTATAAATGTTCTGTGATTATGGGACAAATATTAAACACCTCTACAAACGCCATATTTTAAAACATAAACTTTCAAAGGATTTTAAATGTGCTGACTGTGATTTTGAAACAAATTTTAAAAGCAGCTTGAAACAACATCTTTTGATACATAAAGTTTCGAAGGATTTCAAATGTGCTAACTGTAATTATGGAACAAATAATAAACACCTCTTCAAACGACATCTTCTCAGACATCTTTTAAAACATAACGTTTCTAAGGATTTCAAATGTGCTGATTGTGAATTTGAGACAAATTTACAACATCTTTTAATACATAAAGTTTCTAAGGTTTTTAAATGTACTACTTGTGATTATGGGTCAAATGATAAATCAAACTTCAAACGACATCTTTTGAAACATCAAGTTTCTAAGGATTTTAAATGTGCTGATTGTGATTATGGGACAAATTTGAAAAGCAGCTTGAGACAACATCTTTTAATACATAGAGTTTTTAAGGATTTTAAATGTGCTAATTGTGGTTTTAGGACAAAATGTAAAACATTACTTAAACAGCACCTTTTAAAACATAAAAGACTCTAAAATCGTGATTATGAAATAAATAGGTACCTAATAGATTGGACTTTGAGCAACACCTTTTGGGATACATTGGGCGTTATCTTCAAATCAAAGGTGCTCCTGAGCTTATCTCATTGAAAGAGACACATTTAATGACTGTCAGTGCCTTTATTTCTTACTAGGCTCATCAGGACCTGTACGCTGAGAGGGTCCTGCCTCTGCACACTGGTAATTGACTACTACAATTTGAATATTTATTTTACTCCATAGATGCTTGCATTATAAATATATTTCACAAAATGCATTTTTAAGTATATGGTTTACAATAAAATAAAATTTATGCATGGCAGTCATAACATAGCAGATACTGCAAATGTATTGTTTGGCTTTGTTTGAACTGTAATTATATACACTTTTACATTTCAACTTTTGCATCCTAACATGAATTAAAAAATAAATAAATAAAGGTGACAGTTCGTAGTGCTTTTAAACATTGCAAATATTTGGTCATTTTTATGATTGAAGAAGGCCTGGGAGGGCAAATGGCGATTGCCACCTGGTTCGTAGATCATAGCCCTTTTTTTGTAAAATTTTATAACTAAGACAATATTTAATTTTCTGTAAATTGTTGCTTTTTTTAGTTTTAGTTTTAATCGGGCCTGGATGTTTGTATTTTGTAAATACAATTTTACTTAGCACACAAAACAAATTAATAAACAAAGCTTTAATGATTTGTTGTATAATCTGTTGCAGCCGGACTGATACTAATTTTTCATTTTTGTCTCTCTCTCTCTCTCTCTCTCTCTCTCTCTCTCTCTCTCTCTCTTGGTCTATCTACCTCTCTATCTTTCTCTCATACAGATTTAGGTAACGTAAAATATTGACGAACTAATACCAAAAATAAAGATAAAATCAAAAACAGTATTAAGAGGGTTCAAAAATGTGTAAAGAAACAAATAGTTAGAACATTAAAACTTTATTATCCATATTCAGAAAGCGAACAGAGGTACAATTTACTTAATGCTTCTTTTAGTTCTTTTGCGAATGGAGGGAAGGTACTCTTCCTCAGTTAGATACACTTGGATATTGCAGGGCACGTACCTATGGGTGTTAATTCTTCCGTGCGCGCGAAATGCGCGCCTTCTTCGTGAAACACACCCCCTGCTAACCTGCAAGTGTCGCACTACCAATCTATCAACATCCAGCCCATTGTATTCCGCGTTGCTTTCTGCATTCTTCAAGAGATCGATTAGAAATTTTGCAGATTTTTGGGGCCAACGTCCCTGAACGGTCCGAAACTGTTTTGCTTGCGCGCACTTTCCTACGCCGCCTTTGTATCGCGTGAAAGGTACACACTCCTTGTGAGCAATGACGTTCTTCAAATACGCGTAGGCGCGTTTTAAAGGCATTTTTCGGATTACGTTGGCAGTTTCGTACGTGTTCTGTAAAATGCCAATGCAATTATTGATTTGTTGATCAATATGCGGCAGCCAAAGGTATCTAACTTTAACCCTGTAGCTTCGACAATTAATGGTGGGTTTATACCTTAGACTTAGACCATATAGTACATGGACTGCTATTCGCCCTATGCTTTCAATACAAAATGGGTGGTCACGGATAGAGGGCACTGTAGTCGTGGGTATGTGAATCTCAGGGTAAACTAAAGTCGTATAAACACCACTCGGATCGCGTAAAGGGCAGCTTTATAGTACCCGCGTAGTACGGGAAGCTTTACATTATATAACCTTTTTTTGGGATTCTCGATAATTGGCTATCGTTCTTAATGATTCGTTTACCCTGAAACTCACATACCCAGGCGATGTCCTTGACCATATTTTAGTTACAATTAGCAGTCCATGTACTATATGGTCTAAGGTTTATACAATCATTATCATTAGTTCACTAAGTTGAGGATGCTTTCGTTGGTTAGCAACGCACAATAAACCTTTGTTTCTATTGGCTATTTCTTAATGATTTTTGATAGTGAACTAATGATAATGATTGTATAAACCCACCATAAATTAACAAAAATAATTAAAGGATATTGTTAAGGACTTAATTCAGAAGTCTTGCCCAAACCTTTGCCAACTGAAATATGAAGTACCTAGATATTTCGAAATGAATTTTTTACTCAAAATGGTTTTCTGGTTTCCTCGCCAATTTCTTTTGTTAAATACGGGTAAACTACCCTTTAATCAATTGGTTATACCTTAATTCTCCAAAACCAAGGGTTTAATAGTTATGTAATCGTAAATAAATAAACCAAATAATTAGTACGTGGGCAGGTACCTTAAAATGCACTAGCCAATTGTTTCCCTTTGCCTTACAACTATTCACGGCAGAGTCTTCGCGGAAAGAATAATGAACCATCTCTGATAAAAATAATTACCCGTCTATCTAAAAAGACTTTATTAATATCTTAAAGTACCTAATTTGATATTAACTTACTAATTCGAAAATTACGCAAAAATCTCTTCAAACACTGTCAACAGAAGTAAACAGGAAATCTTGCTATTGTTTCTGAGCGCGAAATCATGGATGTATGGATTTTGAAGATTAATCACTGTAATGTGTTTCAGTATGGTGTGTTGCCTATCTGCACATTTTGAAGAAAGGCGTTTAAAGTGTAAAATGGGAAACGGGTATTTTGCAATGAAATTCTACATGAACCGTTCTTCAAATCATGTCGTCTCCCATGATCGTTCCATATAGGTACATATGTATGTCTATGGATAATTCCCGTATCTAGTTCAATTAGGAGTTGATGAGGAATGTGAATTTATCTCTGGAAGGGTCCTTGAAAGCTCTGGAAAACACAAATTGTTCTAAACGAGGCTTTTTCATTTGCTCTAAACCATTCTCCAGAACTATATGCGAGCGTAAAAGTTCTCATCAATGAAAGAGTGTTTAAATAAAGGTGCTCCGCACGAGAAAAAGTATTTAATTAGTTCTTCTCCGACTGTTACTGAAATGCTCACGTTATTTTCAGTATACTATAAAGTACCTACATACATATAAATGCTGGAAATATTTCTTAATCGTTTTTACTTTTTACGTAGTCTTCTTAGTCTACAATTTGTTGAATGCTGCAAATGCACTTTCAACAACTCTTTGAGAGCCTTCTAGACCCCTTCCACACTTTCGCTTATATCCTTTCCGCATTGTAGACATTCAGTAGACGCCTGAAAATCTCTGATAATGATTTAATCACACATAATTCAAAATCTTTTAAAACTTTACAACTGACATTGCATTTATTAATTTATTAACCTTGGAAAATTAATATGCTAACAATAATCCCTTAATAACGAAAGGCCAATACGATTACACGAAAATACCCTGTAGATTATAAAAGCCATATCCATTGTATAAGTAATGTGTTTCGACTTTCGAGTATTAGAAATATCCGTTCGCGTATAAGAATCGGCCCGTATTGCGTGTAATGTGCAATATATAAATAAACAAATGTTACAACAATTTAAAAATTTATTTATTTAGAATATTAAAGTATTAAAAAATGTTGTTTTGCAATTATGGAATCTCGCTTAAGATATGAAATTTTTTTCTCCCAAACGATTTTGTATTTTACTAGTGATAATTTTAATTTTATTTTACTATTTTCGATTTTATTTATTTAATTCCAAAGTTACTGAGGATGAAGAAGAAGAAGAAGAAACAACCGATAACATTATTAACAAATACAGTATTACTTTGGGAAACAGCAATATGAATCGGTATGGTTGCGTTTTCAATTGAAGTTTGCTTAACTGTGGAACATTTTAGGAATGATGTTACGGTAGCAGTTGTAGCCTGTGGTGATCGAGTGCATGAAACTTTAACAATGATAAAATCTGCTATAATGTTTAGCAAAGTGAAGTTAAGTTTTATTGTGGTCACCGAAGAGCACTTAATACAAAATTTTAACGAAAAGGTACTTCTTAGGTGATCTTCACTTTGTTAATTATCATACGGTTTTAGCTGACGGAGTGGAAGGCAATTATACATTTTTCATTCAAAGTGATTCCACTAACATTCCCAACGGAGGGAGCGCAGGAATGGCAGAAATTATTTAAGCCCTGCGCTTCCCAAAGGCTGTTTTTACCTGTAAGCCGCCCTTTGATCTCCAGCATTCCTGCTAAAAGTGACTGTTTCAGTCCGTTCTTAAAGATATCGATTCAATCCTGTACGTCGATACAGACGTGCTGTTTCTCACTCCTGTTGAGGACGTCTGGAAGTATTTCGCAAGCATGAATTCTAGTCAAATGGCCGCTCTCGCCCCGGAACACGAGGACCCGAACGCGGGCTGGTATAATCGATTTGCTAAGCATCCATATTACGGAAAATTAGGTACTACTGGCGTCTCTGTAATCGTATTGATGTGTGAAAATTAATTTCCTAGGTGTGAACTCCGGAGTAATGCTTATGAATTTAACGAAAATGAGAGATTTCTTATGGGTCGAATATGTTATTCCCGTTTATAAAAGATATAAATTAAAAATAACGTGGGGAGATCAAGACATAATTAATATTATATTTCATTATCATCCAGGTAATACAACTACAGAGGCATGTAGGGGCCAAGTTTCTACGAATGAGTGTCATTTTTTCTAGCAATGATGTAGGTAACTTCTTTTTCCTTTTTAGGAAAAAGTTGCTGTTATTTATAATTGTACAAAAAAGGTATGACTATTACTATTATTGTCAGAGGTTGGTCTTCAAGGCACTCAATTATAGAAGGTGTTAAGAAAACATGTAAATACGATGAAAGAACATTTTTGTATAATTGCTAGAAAAGGTGTCACTTGTGTACCTGTATTGCCTGAAAAAATCGCCCCTGCCTGCCTTCATAATACATAATGCAGCATTGGAATTTTTTAGATAAATTATATATTTATTCATGTCGATATAATTTTCGTCCGGATCACTGCATGTATATGAGTGTCTGTAAGAGTGCGGAGAAGGAGGGGGTGGCCGTCTTGCACGGATCTAGGGGTTTCTTTCATTCGGGTAAACAGCCCGTTTTCCAATCCATATATCGTGCATTTGAAGAAGTAATAACTGCTTTTAAATTAAACTCAAAAATTACAATTTATCTACAGTTTCAGATAGGAATGGACATTTACCATGACTTTTACCAATCGCTCGAATCGTACTTAGAGTTGACCTCCGAAACTAGTTGTGGTCACATTAAGGATGCATACCTTGCAAATTTGAAGCAATATATTACTACTAATGATGAGAGATAGTATCTACTAGAAGATCTTTTGAAGCTAATGTACCTAGTCAAAGTAAAGTACCTGTTAATAATTAAATGAGGGTACTACGTAAATGAAGTTAAATATTTGCTTGCAGTTACGTACACAATTTTAAGCTTACACTGTTCCTTTTTTCTACAAATAAATTAATCGGTAGTTTACTTATACAATTTATTAATGTAATCAACTCTCCAACAGAAAAATGAGAGAATGAGCTTTTCCTTTCACGTAGAAAATATGCCAATTTCGTATTTTAAAAACTGGAAAAAAGTTTTCCTATTTATTTATCATAGGACAACAACTAGCTATTTAACTCTCAACAAATGTTATTGCTAAACTCTTTAAGTTCTTTCTAAGACAGTTCAAATCCTTTGTGGAGTTTTTAGGGTTATTTCCAGAAGTAAAGTGTCTATCTCCATTTATCAAGCGTTTCAGATGCTTTACAGAAAGGGAAATTGCCTACAGGCACTAAAATGATCTGAGTGCTTTCCATAGCCTTGGCTGCTTAAGTTCTTTTCCTCTAAACACTTTCCAGATCTTTGGATGACTTTCCTCAACTATCAGGTTCTCTTGAACCCTTCATATGAAAACTTTCTTGACATTTTTTAGAGCTAAACATTTTCCATGACAGTCCTAGGCTTATCTAGTTCTGGAAATGATTCTTGTTTTTTAACAAAGAATCTGCAGAGGGAAAGGTATGTGTATGAATATAATTTCTTTGTATAAAAAAACATGCTGTTCATCATGTGTAACGTTAGCCACCTTTAATCACGTGTCTGTGGTTACCAATTATATAACCTAACCTCCAATTTTAAATGGGAAAATGATTGCTAGAAATTTTGGAAAATTACTACCTTGTCTGATACCAATCGATAATGTCTCGAAGGAGCTTAAAACAGTTAAAGAAGCCGATTTAACTGTCGTGCAAAAGGAGTCTGGATGGGAACGTGTAAAATCGCTATTTGAAAAGGAGTACTTCGCTTCAGACTGAATTAGCCGAGTTATTAACAAACTCTTGTTGCAGTGACTTTGGGAGAATCACTCCGGAATTACAATCAATAATTAATGTAGGCTGTGCCAGTTGTTTTCTGGGTATGTTATATGGGGGAATAACGAATACCAGGGAAACGTACATAGACTTTGTTAAGAATAACCAAGCGACCAGTTTTAAGAGTCATTTAGAAGCTAAGGTTGTGCATGTGTTCTTTGAGTTTGTACTACTGTTTTTATTGTAGAAAACATTACAAGATCGCATGACACTTAGTTTTGCTAAGGGTGCCTTTAAATGGGGATGGCGTTTAACTGTCTTTTCATCAACGTACATGTACGAACAAGTAGTATCTTACCAATGCAATTATAATATAATTTTGCAGAGTTGTCTCTACATTATATTCGACGTATAGAGGGAAAAATGGAATTTTGGAACATACAGCTGCAGGAACAGTTGCAGGTTCTCTTTACAAATTTAAATTAGGCCCACCAGCTATGCTAGTTGGTGGACTAGTAGGTGAGTGAATGTAGTTTCTATGAGCGTACCTTTACCTGCTATTACTTTAGGAGGTGCATTAGGATCAGTAGCTGGTGTTGCCACAAATGTGTTACTTAAACTTAGCGGAATGACAATGCAAGAAGTGAGATATTGGAATTACAAGTGGCTTAAAAAAAGGTCAGATAAATATAATGAGGAATTTAAAAAACATATAGAGAAGGATCAAATCGAGTTACTTACTGAACGTGAACTTGCTATGGAGAAGAGTCCTCCGGATTTAAGTACAATAGAAACTTCACAGTAACATGATTTTGTATAATTTTCGTTCCTGATTTTTTAATCCATGCGCCCATGTAAAAGCAGAGACTACATAATCTATAATAAAGAGAGGTCAGAGTCCTCTAATATAAATCCGGGTGTCCTGCAAACTACTACAGGTGGGTTTCACTCTTCTTGTTTTTGTAATGCGGCATCAGCTGGTTTTATATATTCTTTAACTCTTTGGATCTCAGAAGTTTGTCCTTTTGATCTTTAAATGGATTTTGCACCCTGTAGAGGCAACTACTGTTTTGAGGGTCTTGGATGAATTTCAGTTTCGGAGATCCCCATGATCCTAAACATCCTTAACTTGGACACTGTGTATTTTCCATGCCATTTTTAATATTATAATAATATTAGCCTACCACAGGGATGGCCACAATTGAGTGACTTTTTATATTGCTTATAGAAAATAAAATGCGAAACATAGGCAAGAATATATTCCATAAGAGCAAAAAGTAACAAAACATACATAATAAATAAGAACCCAATACAAAAATAAAGCACTAGGTATAAAGTGAATGAATTAACTATTTTGACTCTTGATCATACGCTTCGGACCACGTCCCGGGGGTCCCTTAGGTTTAGCAAAAATAGGACGATGTAAATTTTTTGTAGGGTGAACCTCTTCGTATAAGTTCTTCTCTGTTAATTCCGAATCCGTGTCAATTTCAATCTAGAAAATTTCATTAGAAAAAAAAGTGAAGCGAAATTGTATAAAATTACTTTTTTTGCTATTTCTACGCCTAGGCTACCGATAGTAGCAGTAAAGGGATTGCTACAGCTGGAATACAACATCCTTTCCTTAATTGAGCAACTATATCCGGGCATGTAATATATAAATACTAAAATGAGCAATTAAGAACTACGCCAACAGAAATCTCTCAATTACCTATACTTTCCATGTAATCACCTTCGTGCGTATGCTTAAAGTTGTACAAAAGGTACCTGGGGGAATCTTTCGGTAGCTTTGAGGCTAACTTGTCGACATTTACATTCTCCGAAGTTACCAGATGAATTTTTTCTTCTTCGACATCTATCCTAAACTGTAGATAATTGTAACTATTGCGGGCCATATCTAAAATGGCCGCCTCCGCTTCGGATGTAATCGGAAATGTAACACCTCCTAAGGTCTGCTGCTTGGATGTAATACTATAATCGGTGTGCACCTCGTTTCGTTTCATTTCTTGTATTTCCTCTTCTCGTGATGACAAGGGTGCGGGTGCTACTGCTGCTTTTTTAAATTTATAGTAACCGTCCAATGTAACTTCCGACTGGAACAATTATACTCCTTTTAAAAAAATGGTATGTTCTTGGTTGATTATTAGTTAAGAATAAACAAAAATAATGTGTGGAAATGGACAAATCACAGTACTATCAACAAGGCATTTGAAACTGTTCTACAAACAGCAACAAGCGAAAGCAAAAAATGATACAGTACCATTATCGATCCTCGTATTTCTTCCTTAATTTGTGCGTTGCCAAATTCCTGTTTCAAGGTAGCTTTGGTAGAGGCGTACAGCATTTTTTCACGAACTGGAGCGGTATCTGGTGACCAACTAATAAACAGCCACTCGTACCCCAAGTCGCTTTTCGTGTCTAACCTATACAGAATGTAACAGGGTTGATTTTCTTCGACTAAGGACCCGACAACTTGATCAAAGCATTTATCCCATGTATAGCTACGTTTATCTTTAACGCTTGTCGCAAGGGCTAGCTGCTCTGAAAAATTACACCAATTGCCTACATGAAGATAACATGTACTGCACTAACCGTCACATATCGAGATTTTTAATGCACGAATACTACCATCGCGGCAACGGCCGAAAAACTCTTTTAATTCGTTGTTGGCTACAAAAAGAGAAATTGTGAAAAGGGAATTTGAGTGGGTGAATTACCTTTAATGCCAGTTTGGTGAGACATTATACTAAATCACAGGATATTGTCAAATGGTAAAAATGGAAGGGCTTGAGTTGTGACACCTTTATATTGTGACCGAGATGAAAAATACTTTCAAGAATGTTGGGATAAATCGGGATTTTAACAGGACAGGATGAGATCAGTGTAGGATGATATGCACGCCCATCTCCTTCCTCTGCCAATGCGCCAATAGATCTACTTCATTAGTTCATTATGACCTACTACGTGCTATTAGCACTACCATCTCATTTGATACACGGTGCTGCAAATATTTTGTTACCGCTCGACACATGTAGCAGTACAAAATTGCAACGTCTTTGGGTTTAAGGAATGGTTGGGTGGGTGTTTTTCCCTATGTGGTTTATTGTATTTCTATGGCTTTTAAGAACGACAGAAAATGTTCCAAAACCAAAGCTCATTCGAATCTAAAGGTACCTTTACACTATAATATATCTCACATGATTTTTTATATGGTATGTTATATGTTTTACTTTACACTTGACAGGTTTTTCATATGACTTTTAATACAAGAAGTTACGAAACGTATATAACTTCTCTAAATTAAAATGTTCCATTCCAAGATTGGACTACTAGTTCAAAAGTTACAGCCCTTTGAATTTTCTTTCGAAATTGGTTTCTAATCTATAACTTTTGATTGAGAAGTCTGATCGAAAAAGTACGAATTGTTTTGGATTCTACGCACCAAAATTAATAAGAAAAAGTGTTTTCCCGAGAAATTTTGGTGTAGTCGATTTTTGGTAAAAAAGGAAGGTTATACACTGCCTTTTTTTGAGCCCCGAAAAAAAAATTGTCTCAGATCGACCCGGAAAAAAATTTTTCTTATAGAATGTGGCCTGTAGAATCCATAATTTCAAACAGTTCCAAGATTGGGCTACTAGTTCAAAAGTTACAGCCCTTTGAATTTTCTTTCGAAATTGGTTTCTAGTCTATAACTTTTGATTGAGAAGTCTGATCGAAAAAGTACGAATTGTTTTGGATTCTACGCACCAACATTAATAAGAAAAAGTGTTTTCCCGAGAAATTTTGGTGCAGTCGATTTTTGGAAAAAAGGAAGGTTATACACTGCCTTTTTTTGCCCCGAAAAAAAAATTGTCTCAGATCGACCCGGAAAAGTTACAGCTAGGGAATGCAATCCCGCAGCAAAATCTCAATCCCGATATTTGCGGGATCCTTAGATGTTAATCCCGCGGGATCCCGGTATTTGCGGAATTTTGTGCGGTTAACTTCTGTATATAAATCGCTATAATTATCACAATAAATATTCAACAAAAAAGTACCTTCAGGCTAACTTAGAACTCAAAAAAATCACCTGTAAAGCACAAATAGGTGAACTTCTAAAGTGCCTCAAAAATCGTTTTTAACGAAAAAAGTTTAACAATTATTTTAAAAATAATTTCTCCGTTATGCGTTTCATTAACAAAGCTTACTAAAGCAAACAGAGTCGTCCCCTTGGTCGACATTTAGGGTACCCTTATTTGAAAGAATACCCCAAACATTTGAAGGGTTAATTACCAATCAAGACACTATTTGACAATGTGTGTCTGAAAACACCACTACAACCAGACAACCAAATACCAATAAACTCGTAAATATTTATTGCTCGATTTATTGTTTATGTAATTTATTCTTTCATTAGTAACTAATATGCCTATAATCATTGATTATACGCACTTATAATCAATGATATAATCAAAAGTTTACTGGTTTACTCAAGTATTCAGCTTTTTCAGGTAAGTACAACAGCAAAATGCGAAAAAGGGCGGGATCACTTGGATATTTAAAATAAATCATGTCATTTGTCATGCAGAAATAGAAACATCCCTATTCCACGATTTACGTATTATTTCTATATTATTTCCTTATGATTTATGTTATGACAGCCATAATATCAAAAATAGTATAGTGTAAACACAAATCTAAATGCTTGTTACTTATCATATGACAAATCACATGAGAAGTATGATAGTGTAAAGGTACCTTAAAACATAACTTAAAGTTTTGCAGCTACACATTTAAATTAGTTACGCGTAGGCAAAAGCAAATTTTAATATGTCGCGGTTCAAATATTTGACTTATCCTGTATGTGTAACCACAATTTTTGACAATTGACATTCCGTATTGATGTTTGTGACGTCACTTACGTCACCTCAACATGATTTGATTTGTCTAAATAACAATTAAAAGCACAATAAATAACTGAAAATTTAAACATTACTGAGTGATGGTTAAACCAAAACTGTGAAAATCGGACAAGCCAAATTATGAAGCGACAAATTAAATACACTTGAAGAAATTCCATTGAGCCATTATCACAGAGAAGTTAATTTAAATATTTCACTTTGCCCCTTCATAAGTTTGTCTCATTTGCAGGTCTACAATGGCAGAAATTCACAAAATGACTTTTATATGCGACGAAATGTCGACGGCTATGTTCAGGAAGTTGTACGAACAGAAAAAGACGAGCCGCTTTTGTGATCTGACACTTTACGTCAATAATAAAATAGTAAGGGCCCACCGGAATGTGCTGGCCTGTAGCTCTCCGTATTTTAACTCAATTTTAAAGCACCACACCATAATCAGAGAGCAGCTAAATATTACATGTTTAGATAGCGAAATATTTAACACAATTATTAATTATATGTACACTGGGCATATTACGATAGAACTTTCAAATGTAGAAGAATTATTGAGGCTGGCTGACCATTTCATTTTAACAAAAATTATAGAATATTGCATAGAGTTTTTAGGTGCAAATTTAAATGTGTCCAACTGCCTGTTTACCTACTACTTATCGCAACGATTTAAGTTGAAGCATTTGTGCAATATCGTCGAGGGATGGATTATAAATCACCTGAACGAGATATGTGATGGAAAAGAAATTTTAAATTTAAGCGTGATAGAACTGCAAGACTTCCTGAAAAGTCGGGTGTTTAATATATCGTCGTTCAAAGCTGTTAATATCATTTCCGAGTGGATCTTACGAAACACCAGAATTAAGGAGAAAGATTGTATAAAGTTATTAAACTGTGTTCAATGGGCCAATTTCGAACCAACCGATATATTTAGGTATCTCGAGTCGTTTACGATATTTTCCAAAAGCGAACTGTGCTTCTATTACTTTCTAAGTTCGTTGTTTCAAAATAGTCTACTATTACCTAGCTTTCGAAATAAGTACGACGAGTTGCACGTGAAATACGGATCGGTAAGTTTATGCATAAGTAAATGCAAGATAATTTACTGATGTCACTTACAGTCTCTGTTGAATGACGAGAAGGGTAATGACAGTGAGAAGTTGTCGGATAATAAAATTGTAGTGACCGAGCCGAGCAAGTCTCTAAGAAACAACAGCAAGGCCGTGCTTGTAAAACCGAAATTAAGAAATCAAAAGCAACGACTTCTGAAACGATTGCTTTTTTGTAGCTTGAAGCCCAGCCTGAGAGTGTTCTTGTTTAAACATCATAAGATGCTTTTTGGTAACTGTGATAAAAATAGTGTAGAAGGTGGAGGCGACTCCTATATGTTTAAGTATACTCATTTGATCAGTTTAGATAACGAATCGGAGAAGAAGACGTCTGTGAAATGCCCCATTTGTTTTACCAGTATCAATGATCCTTTGCTATTGGAACAACACCTCGCGTTGAGCCATGCCAAGGATGTTACGTATAAATGTGGCATTTGTATCTTCGTATGTCAGTATCATGGCGATTACTTGAACCATATGAAGAATCATTTCTCCGGCCCTCCATACAAATGTGATTATTGTACGTATTTGGTGTTACCTATTGTTTTATTAACAGATACACAATGCGATCTGGTAAAATTATAAAATCAATTATTAACAAACTATTCCTTAATTTCAGTTTTTCTCTTTTATTTGATTATGCAATATAATAAGTTTTTTATGCTGCTATATCCAAAAAAGTGTACTATTAAAACTAGTGGTTGTCATTTCAAAAAATAAGCCCCCCTTGACCATGCAGAAGTACGCCACTGATCACAAATTTTAAGTACTTAGGATTGGCATTGGTAGCAAACTTTTTATAATTTTGGATATCACAAAAAGCTGAAAAAAAAAATTATGAACATATCAGTGTTCCAGACAAAATGTTCACACTGTATATTAAATCTATCTGAACCGTTTATAGCTCGTTTGGCAAAATTAGCGAGGTTTTTCGATTTTATTTCTGCTTTTATCCGAGATAAAATTAAATTGCACTGATGAGCTTCCGTTTTCTCTCTGTTCCTAAAAAGCAGCGTATTTCCATCTCGATATGATCTGTCAAGGTGACAATTTAAAGTACAATAATAATAAACAGCGGAAAAATTAAAACCACTTAAATTTCACAACTCCACTACTTAACATATATTTATTTTTTCTATCATCTTTTTTCTAATTTTCAAAAACTAATTTTTGATTCTATATTTTTATTTTAATTTATGTAAGTATATGAGAATCTTTCAATTTATTAAGGGTAAATCTGGGGGATTATTTACGAATAACTTGGTTTATTGTATTTGAATAACTGTTATTATTTGAAAACACATCCAGTCACATGCCTTAACAACATTGTTATTGTTAACCTAACAAGTATGCTTTATAGAAATAAAAGACCAGCAGGTTGGGTGAAATTCAAAACTTTATTTTCTGTTTATCGCAATCGATTTCGGCCAATTTAGGCCATCATCAGGCGTAGCGTCATATGATAAGAAGATGGATAAAATTTTTTTTTTTTATCAAAACCATTTATTATGAGTAGAACGAAAAATGCGTAATTATATTGAAATATATGAAATTGGAGTTGAAGTGTGTGACAGAAACTAGAAGACACGAGACACACTTCAACGCCAATTTCCTATATTTCAATATAATTACGCATTTTTCGTTATACTCATAATAAATGTTTTTTATAAAAAAAAAATTTATCCATCTTCTTATCATATGACGCTACGCCTGATGATGGCCTAAATTGGCCGAAATCGATTGCGATAAACAGAAAATAAAGTTTTGAATTTCACCCAACCTGCTGGTCTTTTATTTCAAATAATGAAATTCAAATTAGAAGAGTTCATCAATAAAAATAAAAAAAAAGTATGCTTTATACTATACCGGCCGTTAATGTCTCAACTTTAGTGCCAACAATTCCCTGTTTAAGAAACAGTGGGCAACTTTGGTTGATGACATAAGACAAAAATAACGGAATTTTTATCAATGTAACTTCAGAAATAATGACGACTAACCTGACACATAATCGCCCATAGCACACAACAAAAGAAAATTTGTAATAAAAAAATTCTCCTACTATTGTAGGCTGGCTTAGTAGAACTCAAACAGAGGCAATGAGAAAGTATTCTTTTTATTTTTTTGTATATGTTCTAATAAAAAATTGAGAAATGTTGGCATATCTTCAGAAGTAATTGGAATTTTCTGGTTTTCTTTACAGTTTGATAATTGCGCAAATTTTCCGTAATTTGACCATCTTCAAATCTACTATGGTTTCCTAGATTTCCATTATAGACATCCTTATCTTGGACACAATGTATTTGCGGGGCATAGGTAATATTTTATTTATTTTATTTTTGGTCTTTATTTTTAAGTAGGCTAGATTTCAATCAAGAGCTGCTCTGCCAACCTAACCCATGATACTGTAGCAAATATTCCAGAAATCTCGATAGACATTGAGGCGCCATAAATGACTATAATCAGTCGTCAGCGATAAAGAATGAAAGCGGATGTGACTTAGTCTTTCCGAGTATTTTTCCTATCATTTATTTTTATTTTTTATTTCTTTTTGAGAGTATGAATTTTTTGCTATATTAAAATAATCTTGTCATTTTAATTCAAAAGGACCAAGTTCTATCTATATACCTACTACCTACCATTGTTTTTCATAACTCACTGCATTGAATAATATGTTACATCTTTAATTTAATGTTTGGTACCTACTTGTACAGGGTGGTTCAAATTCGGGATTCGCTGGGATCTCTGTAACGGTAAGAGATACGTATTTCAAACATAGATTAAAGCACATGTTAATCCAAAACTGTTATTATAATATATCTGATTTTCTGTATCAATAGCTAGGCTAGCTTTTCCCAATATTTGAATTGACGTATCTCTTCCTTTGTTTTCTTGTATGAGATCAAGAAACGTAAATAAATAAATAAATACAGGTAGGCTAAATGGGGACAAAGTTGCTCTTTGTGAGACTAAAAAAACGCATTGAAATTTGTGAAGAATCTTTGAAAATAACTGAGATATCATCGAAAAACTGAAATTGTTAAATCTCATTTTTCATAACTTAAACGGTCCGAAATGGACGGTTCCCATTGGCACCTTCTATGGATTGCACTTTTTTGTGACTAAAAAACGCATTTGAAATTTTTTTTTAATCTTTGAAAATCATTGAGATATCACCGAAAAACTGAAAATGTTATCATTTTCCTTAGCTTAATTATTTTCAAAGATTTTTCAAAAATTTTAAATGAGTTTTTTTTAGTCACACGGCAACTTTGTTCGTATTAATCTACACTGTTTCTCTCAACGTTACGGAAATCCCAATGGTGAGCCACGAAGGTGAACCACCCTGTACATTACATACATACAAACTATCACTATCATTGGCAGCTCCTTCCGTTGTAATATTGCAGTTGCTCTTTAAATGACCGGGAGCAGTTGTATTTTAGGCGTTAAAAAATAACGGATTTTCCTCATGTTTTATAAATCATATGTGCAACAGTAGGATTTTCAACAAACCATCCTAATCCTAATTTTACAAATTCCTTTAGCAAATAGCACTAATTGCAGTACTCATTGCTAAGAGCTGTACAGTAACATTCTATCGCGATTTGTGCCTCAGCCTACTGTAACTTTGGGTGGTAGCCAGAAAAATGAAATCAGAAAAACAATTGAGCTTGAGCTAGAGTGATTCAACATTTTTTTTTATCGAACGTCCTGTATATTTGTTATACATTTGGTAACAAAATGAAATCCTGGATAAAAAAATGTTAGCTGGAACACAAAGTATAATTAGCAATCCTCACAAATGAATGAAAATTTTCAAGAGGTGTAATGTTATATGTTCTATGTCACACGCGAAGTTGCTTCCCTAGTTATTTTGTTGTGAAACTGTTTGTATTAATTGTTCTCTAATCTATTTTGCAGGTGATTTAACTACGGATCAGATATCCAAGTTAATAGCACATCGTTCCAAGCATCTAGACGAGTCTGTATATCAATGTTCCTTTTGTTCCTTCAAGTGTAGATTAAAACAGAATTTTGTATCTCACCTAAAAATTCATACCCCCGAGAAGCAATTCAAATGCGACAGCTGCACCAAAACGTTTAGGTATAAGCACAATTTAGAGAGTCACAAAGCGACTCATGCAACTGATAAAAATTTAACATGCGAGTCGTGCGGTTTTCATACAAAGTTTCTTAGCCACATGATTGCTCACAAGAGGATACATGCAGGTGACAAATGTCAGTATGAACTCCAGAAGATGCTGATGTGTGTGGTTTTAGCCGACATCTATAGATGTTCATATCCTCACTGTAAATATTCAACATCGAAAAAAAATCAACTTCTAAGTCATTCCAAGTCTCACAACGGGGTTAGGCCGCACTCCTGTGGGATTTGCGGACGTGGTTTTATGGAGAAGTCGCATTTGGTCCGTCACGAGCGTATACACTTGGAGGAAAAACCGTTTAAATGTTCAAATTGTGATTACGCAAGCTCCAGGCGTGACAAACTCAAGGAGCATTTCACCAGACATCATGGTGAAAACGCCTCCGCCAAAGTACCTTACAAAGCCCGCCCGATGAGAAATTGTGGCACGAAACCGAAACCCCAAGTACTATTTAACATTGATTAGTCATGTTAAACGATCAATTACTTTTAGACCACACAAGAAACTAGCGTTACGACAAACACCAATTCCATTACCTTTACACAAACCAACACGACCCCTTCGACGACTGCACCTCCTCAACCCATTGGTACTGAGCTGCAAGACCTAATTATGCACCACCAAAATCATCCCACTTCCACAGGTAGAAAGTTAAGCTAACGAATGAATTAATAAATGTGTGCTTACAGCTAACAATATATCGGGAATTAATACAAATTACCACCACTTTGGAGAGTCGGGCGACTTTCATAATCACACGCACACGCATAACATACAACACCAAATTTTAGCTTCCACCCACAACCAGAGGGCGGCACAACACCAAAACTCCACGGTCAACCACCACATGCTCGCCAGAACCAATCACACAAGCGCCACATCGACCGCGGCCGCAGTGGCGGCTGCGATGATGTTAGACCCACGTTTCCATCACAACTCATCCGTAAGCCCACCTTTCTACCAGTATTTCAATAATAATAATTACCCTAAGGTTCCATATCATCCCAGCACTACGCCGGCGTCAATGGCCATGGCCGCAGCCGTGCAGTCTTCTCAGCAACTGCAAAATTCCGCCGGAACGCAACACACCGAATATCCGCCGACGTTACAAAATTGTATGACATTATTTTAAAAACGTTGAACGTTGTTTTTTTTGTCAATAGTATATTTAACGTTGATTCATTTAGTTGTTCCTGTTTTATTTCTTCTCGTTGGGTTTTTTTTTATTACAATGTGTTTAATTTATGAAATGATGGAGCTTTTGTTCGTTAGTTTTTTAGAGAGCGATCATTTTATAAATAAAGATACTACCGTTTATTCTAGATTGATGTTTAAAAGGAAGAAAAAAGGCAAGCCCGCTGACCCTAGCCGCTTACTTTATTTCCAGTCTTCAATTTGGCAGAAGTGACGGTCTGCCGCCTTACATTCTACGCCTAATTTTCTCGCTTTTGATTATGGTTTTTGAACAGTTAAAGATCTATTATGTTTTATACCGGAAGTATAATTGCAAGGCGCGTGTGCGCTTTGATTGGCCGAACGGGACGGCACGTGACGTGAGCTGCGGGCGAGGTTTGGGGGGGGGGGGGTAAGAAATAGAAATTGGGTTGCAGGTTGCTGATGCTGGTAGTCATTTATCTATTTATTATTGTACAGGCGAAAAAGATTAGATTAGAACGGTATTTTATTTCTTAGTGCTGACAGGCCCCTTTATTGCTTTTGCTTTAATTAGTCAACGAAAACTTTGAATAATAGGTATATTTATGGGCAAAAAACCAATTTCGACAAAAAATTCAAAGGGCTGTAACTTTTGATCTAGTAGTCCGATCTTGGAACTGTTTGAAATTATGGATTCTACAGGCCACATTCTATAAGAAAAATTTTTTCCCGGGTCGATCTGAGACAATTTTTTTTTCGGGGCAAAAAAAGGCAGGCTTCCTTTTTTTCCAAAAATCGACTGCACCAAAATTTCTCGGGAAAAAACTTTCTGATTAATTTGGGTGCGTAGAATCCAAAACGATTCGTACTTTTTCGATTAGACGTCTCAATCAAAAGTTATGGGCAAAAAATTCCTGTTTTTAAAATTTAAAATTTTTATTTTCGTCATTTCGTGAAAGGCAGGACGCAGGTACCTCACCTCAGTAGCAGTACTAAGTACCTGATACCTATTTGTTATTTTGGGCATCAATGTAGGGAATTGCCGATCGATGCCGAATAGCCAAATCGTTGACTGCCAACACTGATCAGTCACTGAATAGTGAATACTACAGAATATTTAGATTTTAGTGACTTTAGACTTTAACCAAAACCAAAATTGCTCCTATATATACCTATATATTTATTGCCTTTATTTTAAAGTGGGCGAAGCGGATAGCGGAGTATTACCTAAATACCTAATAGCTATGATGATAACTCAATTCTTCTGGGGAGGGGGGATATCCCCTTCATCCCCCCCCCCCCCGTAAATACGCCTCTGAGTTCGTCACAATGCAATACAATACGTGCGTTTGATCGCATAGTTTAAAAAACTAAATTTTGATGACTAATTTATTCGAGGTTTTATCAAATTTATAATAGTATTTTGCTTCCACTTCCACAAAAAATGTTTTGTCTTCTGTTTCCGCTTCCGTTATAACACTTCCGTTGCGTCACTAATACAATCTAACTGTACAGCAGGCCATGGCCTTCATTGCAGTGTTTTTCTTGAGTTCCCATCAACACTTCATACTACCACATCGGGGGAACCTTAGAGGTTGCAGTGGTGTGCCTATCTCTATTTTGAAATTGTGGTAACTGTGTTGGTTTTCGAAGCTAATTTTTGTTCCACTTCGGTTTTAGTTCTAACTGTAGTCAACATGACCCTCCATAGGATACACCTTTGTCGTGGTGGTGGGGTTATATAGCCACTATTTTCAGTGGTGAATCCTAGGCGGGTAACTGCTAGACTCCATGGCTTTTACCCATAAAAGTTTGATATGTAACTACCCAATTCCATGAAATTTGGCTGAACGGATGCTATATCATTCAAATGCTTCATGGAGTAGAGTACTAACGAAAACTTACTCGACGGTTACTCATTAAATGTGTAAAAGGAATTTTATCAACATTATGAGAAGCAGAAATACTTTTGTTGCATTCTCCGGTACGTTACATTTAGAGTCACCCTTAACGACCTAAATGATCATTTCATTTCGCATATAACGAGTATGAGGGTGCAACGGCCATACAGGAAGCCCATCGCATTACTATTTTTGACTAACATTTATTTACATGGATATTCAATTGAGTATGTCATGCCTAACTTTTCAACCATCCTGTACATATTATCGTTCTATAAATAATTTCTAACACCCTGTATCGTTTCAATATGCAAACGGTCATACTCATTCATTTTATACAAGATTTAAGTTAGAATAAAAAATAAACTGCCCGTTTCGTAAATATAAGCATAGAATTGAGCAAAATAACCGTTATAGGATTTGCAATTAAATAGGAATTATTAAAATTTTACATTTTAGAAAATTGGTGAAACTGCAAATTCAAATCGCTGCGCGGGAAAATAGAGCAGTACATTCCAAATGTCGCCTACTATTTTTACACCAAATAAATATGGCTACTAGTGAGGTTTTTTGTGCAAGAAAATTCAATTAAAATGCTTAATCAGCTACCGATTGTAAACTTTGAGTGTAAATATTTGAAACAGTTCAATTAGCAGTATTCAAAATAGTGATAAGTGAAGTTTATTGTGCATGATATTAACCACTTTATTTCGAATATATCGGACTGTAAGTATATTTTGTTTTGCGAATATCATTTCGTAGCGCAAATCCTTAAAAAATTAGCACGTAATTAATTTGAAATTATTATTAGTTTATAATTAGGTTAAGAGACATTAAACTATATGTACATTCCATGCCAAAAATTTTTTTAATTTTTCTCTAATTAATCGGCGAACGAGAGATTGGTTTACAAATTAAAAATAGTGCACATACGGCACTGGCTTGGAAATTACGGGAGTTCTCTTAATTTCTGTGAATGAGTCATCTGACTATTTTTTTATTTCATTTATTTTAAATTCTTGATCCTATAGTGACTGTACTAGCAACTGAAGTTAACGCCCACACGTTCACTAGAAAATCATGTGGACCCTATGAATAATTCATTTTTACATGGCAAGTAATGAGCTGTATAAGGAAACTCGAATGAGACAGTACGAATAGTGCTACCGAAGCAATTTCGACCTTATATAGCAAATTAGATCATTTTGACCATTCTAATAACGGTCGGGTAATGGGCAATTTTTTCGAAATTGAGTCCTTGCGTAGAGAAGAGAACAAATAAAATGTGTTGCATAAAAATAACCGAGATAAACTTCCAGTCCCACTACAAACAGGAGTTCCCAAAATAGACCTTATACATATCTTAAGTTAATAGTCTCTCTCTCCCAGTCTCTGCTACTTATCTTCTTCCTTCCTATAAATATTAGAGTAAGGTGTGATGGGTCATTGATTTTTTTAATCTCGACATTAGTTCAATGGATCCTCTCCCGTTATAAATCACATTCTCGAAGAAATTAAATCACTTAAATTTGCCCGGAGGTATTGAACGGCCAATATTTGGCAGCGTACCAAACAACTAGTTGTGTATTGATATATCCACGATGCCAAAATACATTTTTTATGGTACTTCCTTTGAAAACATTTGTTATAAAAAAATTACGCGCTTCCGAGAAATTGCATAGAAAATAAGTACCCCGGAGCTTATTGACCTTTGGGCCCAAATTTGCTCTTGGAGCTCAAAGTTGATGGGAAAGCTCCTGGTGCAAACAGGATTCTCAAACACATTCGGTCGCTAGGGGGCGTTTCTTATATTTGCTCGTGTTTTAATATAGGATCTTGTTAATTTGCAATAACAGAATTTTGTTTTGTCTATGAGACACCTGCTATTTTTTTTGGGGTTTCAAAAATGTATACCTCTTTTGTTATGGCAAATTTAAAACAAACCACACCAATTCTTTTCCATTTAAAAAAATGCTTTAGGATAATAGGGAGTTTTAGAAACTCCAAATTACGCCTATAAATTTATCATTTTGACAGGAACATGTGTCAGCCTTGTTGGGCCCACTCTGTACACTTTAAGATCCAAAAATTCATATAGTTCGAAGTATTTTATTTTTAACACAATCGTTTTACAACAGTCGAATAAATTTATAGACTCGTTGATATTGTTGGTTAAAAGTTTCGCTTATATGTGTTGTGTAAGTTTCATTTATACAGGGTGTAACAGTTAAGTATGTCAACAAAATTGTAGGTCCTAAATGTTTTGTTTGGGCAACCATAACATATAAGTGAACTTGCTTGTGTTTTGGGTACTTATGCCCTTTATGATTTTCCAAAATTTCTTGTTGCCCCCCCCCCCTCCCCCCTAAATAAAGAATGCAACAAATGCCAACATAGTGCACTAATTTATTTGGTTAGTGTTCTTTATGTTCTCCAATTCGTTCCTTATTGAAGTGTTTTGTTTTTCAGAAAAATGGTGGTCGGTGAACCAAATATCAATAACATAATGGGGGGTATCGAAAACACGGGGACTGTTAGACTTCATAATCATAGAAAAAAATTAAAGCAACGGTAAGTAGCCTTCTCTCCGTAAGCAATCGACATTAAACAATCGCCCTTCAAGGTTCGACATAATAAAAAAATTAGGACAAGGAACGTATGGTAAAGTACAATTAGGCATAAACAAAGAAACCGGTCAGGAGGTAGCGATAAAAACGATTAAAAAATCAAAAATAGAAACAGAAGCCGATTTGGTGAGGATACGAAGGGAAATACAAATTATGTCGTCCGTGCAACATCCTAACATTATACATATATATGAGGGTATTCTTTCGTTCAACGGTGACTAGTTTTTTTTCAACCGCAGTTTCAGTATTTGAAAATCGGGAGAAAATGGTGCTTGTAATGGAATATGCCGCAGGTGGTGAACTGTACGATTATCTGTCGGAACGTAAGGTGCTAGCGGAAGAAGAGGCGAGAAGGATTTTTCGGCAGATAGCGACTGCGTGTTATTATTGTCATAAACATAAAATTTGCCATCGGGATTTAAAGTTAGAAAATATTCTGTTAGATGAAAATGGGAATGCGAAGGTAGGTTTTTTGTGCATTATATACAAGGTAAAATATAAAAAGATTAAAATTGATTCTCATATACAGGGTGACAATATAAAAAGTTTCAGTGAACCAATTTTTCACTATACAACAATTTTGTACTTCTTTTGCTGCATTTTGTGCACTTACAGGATTGTTTTTGAATTTGTATTTAGTTCGACATACGAAAATTTACACATATACCGCTTCATAGCGAACGTGAACGGGAGTATGTTTGCAAATAAAAGCGATAACGACGCGGACATTTGCGATAAAAGCGTGCGTTTCGAGATAAGAGAAGGGTGACCGGATTGTGCGGGGATTTTTAAATCAGTCTGAGTTACACCGTCAGCGAGCACGTACCTTTCTTTTGTGCACTAAAATTAATTCGCGATCGCGTAAAAATATTAGTACGTGAAAATTAAGACGGGGTTAGAGGTGAGAATTATATTTTCGCACAATTGTGGTTATTCGCAGCTAGTTTCGCGAGCGGTTACGTACCAATAAGGATCAAATTTAGCATGGACACGTCATCACGAGACAGGTATTGCATTTTTTGTATTTCTTTTTACAAGTCAAATAATATGATACATTTGAAATCTGTCGTATTTAAAACGCAACCGGCGAACATTAGACGAACTCAGACAGAGAATAATTCAAGAATGTCGAAATATTGCAAAACCAACATTTGAAAAGGTTCGACAAGAGTTTGAGAATAGATTATAACTGGCGATCAAAAATGAGTTGCTGTCGAGTCGGCTTTGGAAGTTCAAGTTAAATACGATTTTCCATGTTTATTTTTTGATTTGCACGATAATTACTAACCTAAATGTAATGCTATTTGGTATGGTTGGAAAGCATTTTTTCAGAGCTTTCCAACGACGTATCACACATGGGGGGTCACTATTTAAGATTTAAAAGTTGGGGTGGCTGGGGCGCAGGGGGTTGGAGGGGGTGCGTCGCCAACTATGTCATTGTGATTCCCCTCCGAATTACCGAAACGGATTTTGATTTTTTTAAATATCTCGTTTATTTACTAAGATATGGGGGGTGGTAAGTTTTCAAATTGTCACCCTGTATATTATTATTATGGTCGGTGTTTCTTGTGAGAACCCAGGTCTAGCCGGGTTACTAATCGCACTGATTAAAATCAAGTAACGATTAGTGTTTGTCTGTACGTTGTTCGTATATATAATAATAATAATAATAATAATAATAATAATAAAAAAACACAATAAGAAAATATAGGAATAGTATGTAATTCATACAAACAAACATACCAAAAAAAATAAAATAAAATAAAAAATAAAGAAAACATTCCTGCAAATTTAGCAGTTTAACTACGTGGCGTTGTTTATTGTGTAAGGGTTTGTTTGGTTATTATTATTATTATTATTATTGCTAAGAACGAATATTCGCACACTGGAAATATTAAGCGAATATTTCTCGAGAACATTTTTGCGAAAATTTTAGTTTTTAATTGGCCCGATTTCACGAAGTTACGCGAACGTTAAAAAGTGTAAATACGTGCAGCAGTTCTCTACGTTTGTTGTTTGTCTAAATGTTTAGTATGGCTTTGAAGGTGCAGTTCTTTATTGAGTATGAACCAGGGTATGAACTGAGACAGGCGCGAAATTAGAACAATGGGTTTTTGGATAGTGTTTGTCTTCAAGTACGGCCTTGTGTAAGTGTAATCTGCGACTATTCTTTCTCTCCTTTAATTTAAATTAAATAATATCCTGTTTAGTAACAGTTACAAAAAAATCTTTCTCAATAAAAAATTTATGTTATTATTTTTATTTACATTTTTTGTTAGCAGATTAATTAAATGCAGACACACGCCACTATTCTTAGTTTTTAACTTTGTAGATTTGTTGCAAATTTTGATTAATTTTTGATGCTTTGGCAAAACCAATAGAAAATTATCATTTCTTTTTCAATTTAAATTAGTAAAATTATAAAATTAATAAACACAACTATTTTTCTTAATTTGAGTTTTCTCTTAAAGTTCATTATCTAATATAAGTAATACGTTTTTTATGCTTGTATATCCAAAAAATGTGCTCTTTAATAATAATTATGTAATGATAACAAGTAGTTGCCATTAAAAAATGCGCCCCCCTTGACCATGCAGAAGTACTACGCCACTGGCCGTACATTTTTTAAAGTACATAAATTGGTAGGTAGCAAACTTTTGATCATTGTGGATACTTTGCAAAAATTGTAGTCTTTAAGATATATTCAGTGTTCCAGATAAAATTTCCATTCTGCATGTATAGAAACATGAAAAACATGTGTTGAATTTTTGAAATTTTTCACTAAAGAATCTTCCAAGAACTTGAGAAGTATTCCAGAAGAATCTCTGAAACAGCACCTAGATCCTTCGAAGAATCTTCAAAATCAATAAACATTTTATAATGATTTAATCAAGTAATTTTGTAATTAAATGCTACTGATGATTTGACTGGAATTAATTACACAAATTAATGACATGTGGTAGATTGCAATTGAAAACTTTGTGATGGGGTGGTGTACAAGGTTAGTAGAGAGAGTAGGTTGCCTCGTAACTTTAGAGAGACGTGTCATCGAGAATCCGGAAGTCCCATTTGATTGGTGTGTTTAAATTTTCGTTGACTTTGACAGTTATATTTGAACTGTGTAAGTTAGTTAATTGTCAGACAGTGCTGAAGACTATTAGAATACTTTAATTCGATTGAATACTTACTACTACTACTAAAGTATCAATATAGGGTATTATATGTCGGATGGAAATCTTTGTGACGTTGTTATATGCAATAGCAGCTCCAACAAATCGAAAGCAAACAGGTCGCAGATTCAGTTTTTTACTTTTCCAAAAGGTAATTCCTGTATTACAAAAAGAATATAAAGTGCAATGGAAAGGGGAACCTGAACCTTGTATGCAATAGACCGTGCAGTCTCTATTTTCCGGCCGAAGACTATGAAGATGAAATGTAAGCTATTTTGAATAAAGTGTGTTTAATATTTCGCTAGCATGTTTCTTTCTATGCAATGCAGGAACTTTTCAGCACAATGTAAAGTAGATACCATTTCGATCCATTTTGCATTTTTTGAACTTGCTCTGTTGTTGTTGCGTTAATAATTAATTTTTATGATGTGGACAAAATGGGATTCCGGGTGACGTCATTCGCGTATTTTAATACTGAACGTTTATTGGCTGAAAGTTACGAGGCAACTTACTTTCTCTATTAACCTTGGGTGGTGTAAGCAAGTACATAGTTTTTCATACTACGAAAACGATTTTGAGTATTTTTTGATATTCCCAACAGGAAAAAAAATATGGCCCACTGAAACTTTTTAGAATGTCACCATGTATACGCTATAGAATGTTGTCAAATTTTAGATTGCCGATTTTGGTTTATCAAACGTATTTGATGACCAAAGATTGTTGTCGACATTCTGTGGATCTCCCCTTTACGCATCTCCGGAGATAGTTAAGGGCACTCCGTATCAAGGACCGGAAGTAGATTGCTGGTCGTTGGGAGTTCTGTTGTACACATTAGTCTATGGTGCCATGCCGTTTGATGGCAGTAATTTCAAACGCTTAGTTAGACAAATCTCGCAAGGCGATTACTTTGAACCAAAAAAACCTAGTCGTAAGTAGCATCGAAAGTTAATCGTGACTGCCGGCTAATATTTATAATTCTAGGTGCCTCACCTTTAATACGTGATATGTTAACTGTTAATCCTAGAAATAGAGCAAATATAGAGAAGATATGTTTGCACTGGTGGGTTAATGAGAGCTATGAAGAATGTTGCTTAGATATTTCCGAGGAATTAGCGAATCAAACTCCTGTTAGGTTAGACTTATTGTTATCGTTAGCACCTCCCCCTCCTCAGCTCGAAAGCGAAAAATTGGTAGTGACCGGAGAGGTAAGTTTCCCGTTTGAATTCAAAGATTTGTTCTAACTTTGAATTCTAGGGTCAAGATGAATCGAACAATGCAGAGGCAGCAATTCCCACACGGTCGCAGTCTGTAGGCAGTCTAATGGAGTTAACAAATCCAGCTCAGCGTAGAATTAAAGATTTATTATTAGACGATGTGAAAGTTTCTCCAAAACGAAAACTGGAGACCGCTATTAGTACCGATCAAATTAGTTTATCCAAAGATGATATTAAAAGAAAAGAAAAAATTATTAAAGAGAACACAATCGCCGACATCACCCTACACTCCGGCCACAAGGTTGAGGGAGACGAACAGACGCCCGAGACCCAACTTATTAAAAGTCAAACGCGAACTCTGTCGCCTGAAATGGACGTGAGTGAGGAATTCGTGGATCCGTCGACGCAAGGCGCCGCGTGCGCCGAGCTAATGGAGGACGCGAAGAAAAATATGACTGAAAAGAACGCGGAGGAGGTCATTGATAAAGAAAATAAAGACGTAGAAACTAAAGAAGAAAAAGTTGAGGAGAAGCAATCGAAAATACCAGCCAAAAGAAAACCAGTCAAGAAAAAAGTGCTAACGGATAAGAATGATAACTTAAGTACAAAACCGGAACAAGCCGAAGCCATTAAAGAACAAATAAAGACTGAAAGCGAAGAAGTACAGACGGTCAGTAAACCAGTCGAGCGGCGGAGATCTCGGATATTTGAAACCGCGGAGAAATTTCAAAATATGATATCGGCGAACGAAAGCAAGGCGCCTGTTGAGAAGCCAAAGAAAATCGTGATACCCGGCGTTAGCGTCGGTGGCTACAAGAAGGAGTTCGAGAGGAAAGCAAGTCTGACGTCCAATAACGTCGGGACGCCGAAGAAGCCCGTCGAACAGGAGGCTGCACCTCCGAAGGCCGCCGAGCCCGAGGTTGCAAAGGACGAAACGGTCGTTGCGCCGCCCGAGGTCGTCGAAAAGGTGACGCCCTCCGAAGAGGAGATATTGGCGGAGAAGGAAAGGAAGATTCAAATAAAGAACGCCGTAGATATTATTAGTAGCGCTTTGGAGAAGGACGGAACGCGAAAGTCGAAATCGCGACCTTGTATGGTGAGAAAGCCGCCGGTGCCGTTCGGAGTTGGTGGTCGTTCGGCGTCTGGAAGTATTACAACGTTACCTACGCCGTTATCGCCGCCGAATACACCTTTGGTAATGACTTTTTTTGTTTATTTATTGACTTAAACATTCTCAAAAATTGCGTACAAACATTTGCAGGAGGCAGTACTTGCTACAGTGCTTGTTTCCAAATGAAATTACCCAAAAAAAGTGACTTTTTCTTGGAAAATTTCTATACGCTTGCTTTATAAACTTTAAGCTTGGGTGAAAAAGGGCACTGTGCGCACTTTGGAATCCCTTCTTGCCAGCGCGAAAAATCTGTATCTTTAATGGCTGGAAATTCTGAAAAATGTCGACCCCTAGGACTCAATAACCTCTTCCTCAGTTTCAAAATGGTTTTTTAGCCCAAAAAAAAACACTGCAATGTCAACTTTATTGAGATATTTCTTTGTAAATGTTAGCCTACGGTGCCTATAGCAAAAGGCCAACATATAGCATATAGTAAAACTCGGATGTGCGCATGCCAAGATATTCTTATAGGTTCTCATACAATTCTGCATATCCCCTATTTTTATATACACGGTGTCGATTTTTCGAGTGCCACTATGGGGATCTCACTTATCTTAAGAGATAGAAAGTTGGTTAAATGGGGGCAAAGTTGCCAATTTTCGTGCTGAATAAGAAGCTGAAAAGACATTTCAAATATCTTCAATAGTTTTGAAGATATCTCAAAAAAACAAAAATTTCTGATTTTCGTTTTTATTTTTTTTTATGATAAACTAATCTAATTAACACATTATCTCACTTATCTTAAGAGATAGAAAGTTGGTTAAATGGGGGCAAAGCTGCAAATTTCCGTGCTGAATAAGAATCTGAAAAGAAATTTGAAATATCTTCAATACTTTTGAAGATATCACAAAAAAACGAAAATTTCTGATTTTCGTTTTTAATTTTTTTATGATAAACTAGTTGTAGTAGACATTTCTAATTAGCACATTATTCGGACACTTTTTAATGGAGATTTCAAATATGGCGTCCTGAATTACGTTCAAGATGACAGAGAAACACGTGGCAACTTTAGTTTTTCTTATGGGCGTCATATTGAATTTGGACATTTTGGGATTACGTCTTTTTTTCTCTTTACAACGGTATATCACACATAGTGGTCCAGTATCACATTTTTCCTAAAAATACAATTTTTCATTTTTTGAGAAGAGTGCTTTGGAAAAACAAAACGTTCTTTTGTTGTCAACAAAAGTTTGACAGTTTGATCCATCTGTCTGGTTGCAGCGTTGTCAGAGAAGTGCTAATTAGAAATGTCTACTACAACTAGTTTATCATAAAAAAATTAAAAACGAAAATCAGAAATTTTCGTTTTTTTGTGATATCTTCAAAAGTATTGAAGATATTTCAAATTTCTTTTCAGATTCTTATTCAGCACGGAAATTTGCAGCTTTGCCCCCATTTAACCAACTTTCTATCTCTTAAGATAAGTGAGATCCCCATTGTGGCACTCAAAAAATGGACACCGTGTATTTTTCTTCTTTTTCTATTTCTTTAATTTTATTTGGCTAGAGTTGATCGTATCTAAGATTTCTATTGCTCTGAAATTGTTTAAGGGTCACCTAGACTCCATTGCCCGTCCCTAACTTCGTGGAGGTTCCACATTTCTAACTTTTTAATTCGGACAATTAAATGCAAGTGATGTGTCCGAATTAGTGAAATGTCCGGATGACTGAATAGTAGGCTAAAAGTGCGTGAATGTACGTTACCAACTTGGACACATTTATCTTATATGTTGAAATCATTTTTTATCCAAAAACAGCATAAATTCTCGAGAATGAAACATATAGCTAAACATTAATCTACATAAATAAAATATGCATGTATGGGCATATGGAGAGAACTTCTAGACATTGTTGCATTGAATAAAGGTCGATTCTTGCTTGCGCTACACTCAGCTCGGCAACACGACACGATGCCGCGCTGCAAAGTGCCACTAAATAAAGATTTCATGTTTTTAAATGAATATGGTAGTTTAGGATACGGCAGTTTTTTGTGTATGTCGTAACGGCAGCTCTAGGTGTAGCGATAATGTCGCTCTTTGTCGCCATAGTGGGAATTCACACTTAAGAGCCACTTCTCACAAGACCTTTTTGAAGTGTTGTAGAGTTGCGCCGCTAGTAGCGAAGCATTGCTTTTTATGGACGCATTCACACGAAGCGACGCTGTGTCGCTACTTGTAGCGGCCTCCCGTTACACTAACACGTGCTGCTAGTAGCGCAACCCCTTCCACGACGTGATTCGCAGTGCCACTAGACGGCAATCATCGCAGGTAGCCGCCCATTGGTCGCCTGCGAGTTATACACAAATTATGGTTATTGTATTTGCATTTTGCATTTCTATCTAGCCCATGCAAAGAAAAAGACATAAGTTTTGCAGTGGGCGGCTATCTGCGACTGTTCCTATACTACACGACGTAGCGGGAAACGATTTTCAGAAGCGCCACCACCACGAACTTATAAATTAAGATGGACTGCTGATCAAACAGTTGCATAGAGGTAGAAATGGTCCTAGCGTGATGTGCACGTTTTAGTTATTTTCTAGGGGAATTTTCCTAGTGCTCAAGTTTTGAGACTATTGCAGTCTTGGAAAATGACGTGTATCACAGTAATTTATTTAGAACACGTGACGTTAATAATGCTTGTTTATTAGTTGATTTGAATTTCGCGCCAAATGAGTGCACATCATGGCTGCCCCCATGCAGGTGTCATTTGTCAATTCAGCATTAGCAGTCCATCTTAATTTATAAGTTCGTGGCCACCACACAATTGTTGCGTGGAAAGCGCAAGTGAGCCGCCGTTCTTCTAAAAAATCTAGTTTGAGGCGAGCCTTCATCTCGACGAATCACGTCGCACGCCACTTGGTAGCGCTGCTGAGCGACCTAGGGGCTTTTAAAGGTGGGAATTCTCTAGCCAAGATTTCTTGCGCGAGGTTGCTGTCTAATTGCACTGTCAACAATGCTATCAGAATCGAAATTTAAGTTAAACTGACACTTGCAAATGCCAAATTTTTGCTACAAATCGAATTATCTTTAAAACTTCAAGTTCTTCGTATATTAACCATATAATTAAAAAAGCCCACCCGATCGTTGACTCACCCTGTATATGGTGGTCCAAATTTCTATGGAAACGCCTTTTATTTTAAAAGATCGAAAAAAATGGTCCTAGATATCTAGAGCTCAATTAAAGAGAAAATGTTTATCTTTAATAGTTTGGCCGCTAGGGGGCGTTTTCCAAATTTAGTCGATTTAACTTGTTTTCCTTTGTAGGTACACATAAATAGTTCGTTCCTATGGTTTTTTGGGACTATGCGCTAAAGTTACTCGTCTTAGGGTCAAAAACCTTTGTGCTTGTACAATTTAGGCAGGCAGGATAGCACTAAAATTGCCGCAGAATCCACTTACCATGATCCTCTTACGTATCAAAAAACCTACTCTAGGTTTCATAATTTCCCGCAATATTTGTGCAATAGAGCGTAATGCGCCACCTTTCTTAATTGGTACCAAACACCTACCTGGGCGTGGTGCCGTGCAAAAATGTTTCTTATTTTATAGATGAAATGTAACCTGCGATTTCACTGATAATGAACAAAAATTCTACCCTCAAGCCTGCTCTACCATCTACTGTACTTTACAGGTACTCTTTGGGGCAAATGAAGCAATTCTGCCAAGTACTCACAGCTCCGTTCCTGCCCAGGTTGTTGAGGAGAGTCACGCTGAAATACCCGAAGAAGAGAAAACATCATTGGCCGAAATCACATTAAAATCCGCGACATTACCGCGACGTAAAACGACAAAGGCGGAAATTAAACTGGACTACCCATCGCCGAAACCGGCCACTATGGGTTTCAAGACTGAAATGGCTCATCATGTTGAAGGTCATCCTAAGTTAACCACGCAACGAAGTGAGGTTACCTTCCCGGTTACACCCACGGTTCCCAACTCCCACAGGTAACCCCCGCACTCATTTATCGACAATTTTAATGTGACACTCGACATTTAGATCGGCGTCTTGTGAACCGGAGAACAAAGCCAAACCAAGGGAGCGAATAATACCGATCTCGTTCGAAAGAGACGTACCCGAGGAAAGGAGGGAGTCGGTAACGTCGCCCACTGTAAAACCGCCTGTCACTCGAATATTTCAAACGCAACGCTCAACCACGTCGCAAAGGTCAAACAGTTTGTCGCGCCAGTCCACTCAAGAGTCCGATTCTGAGGGTAACGTCTCGTCGGGCGAGCCCATTCGAAAGTCACCTCGCGAGTATATTATACCTATCGCCGTGGAGGGAGGGGGATACGTCACGCCGCGCGCCGGCAGTTTGGAGCCTAGTGATACCTCTAGTACAATGACCAGCAAATCGAAGTTCAGCCGAACGAGACGGCTGAAGTGAGTACGCGAGAGGCGCGACTATTGTCTAACAACACTTGGTTTCAGTGATCGGGAAGGATCGGAAGACGAGTCTCCGTTTGCAGCACTGCACAGGCATAGTTCCTTCGGCAGAGATAGTGATACAGAGGACTCTAGGAGAGACATATTCCGTATGCATAGCCTTAGGTAACGTTGATCTTGTTATTGAGCAAAAAACAAAAATGTACTTGCAGGAGTTCACGTCCAAGAAAAGCGAACATGGAACACAACGACTCGTTTAGTTCGGGCGAGGACGACGACGATGACGGTTTCGAAATTCTCACTGCTGAAAATCTATTTTCCACTCTCTTATCTAGGGTAAGCCGACTTACAAAACGGGGTGGTATCACTTTGGGATTATCCGACAGGTGCGTGGGTTAACTCAGCGATTAAACGTGGACGGAAGACCGGGCTTCCCCGCCAGCCGGCTCCTCAGTTCTCACTTTGACAATCGCGGCGACAACTTTTGGAAGTTACGCACTGACCCATTATCTAGGTGAGGGCATTTTCGGTTTTGGTAGTCGTTGCATCGATTAGTGAGTTGACAGTTCATTTTTTTACAAGCTCACGATTATCTTTGACTTATACAAAAGTAACCACAACGACTAAGTAAGTTGTGTAAGTTCTCATCTAGTAGTAGCAATTGTAGAGATTCGACGTTCGATAACTTCGAACTAACCGTTTGTTTTCCTTAGGTATTCTACGTTAAGACGACCGAGTCGGGAGCAAAGTGTCGACTCCTCGGTACCTAGAAACTTGGGCACGCCTTGGCGCAGGAGCGTCAGTCGCGATTTAGCGTCCGACATCGATAACGTGTTTAATAATTCACTCTCATCTCCTACGCATACGGCCACTTTGCCTCGAGGAGGTAAATATGATTATGTTCACTCGTAGAGCAAATACTTAAGTTCGATGTCTCTTATTTTTTTGTCACTAGATTTTATGAATGTGTAGAGTAGGTTTTTGTACTACAGATAATGATTTTTGTGTTGTCTGTAATGTTTTTTTTTTGTAGTGTACTTACTTTTTTTGAATATTTTATTATTAATCGTTATCTCCATTTTTGAAAAGTGAACATATACTGATGTATCAATTTAAAAATTTACTTCACTAGACACTACACTTTAATGCTATACATACATATCTAACAGTACAGGTTAATTTTACCAGTTCCTATTGAGATTTTCGCATTGTTTTCAGTCACACATTGCATCTCTCTGTCTTGTTAACTCTGATACTAATGGGCTCTTCTGTGATGCAGCCGCTCGTCTAGAGCTTTGCATCCTTTTCATCCCCTGTTGCTACCATCTATTGTTCTTCTCTAGAATATGAGATTAACCTGTAGGCTTTCTCGCTAGATGATGAGATTTTTTGGCATTACATTAACTTTTTCCTAAAAATTTGGCCACAGATCCATGGGCAGACATTTTGTTATTTTTTTTTAGAGTTAGAAAGACGGATAAATTAACAAAACAACATCGCATTTAGGTATTAACAAAAATGTGAATTTTATATATGGAACACCCTGCATATTAGTACATCATAACAGCTTATTAAATTCTCTACAGAAGTTCTTAATACACCATAGCCAAAGTACTTCAAATAACTTACTGAACTATTTATTCGGCAAATATTATTTTCTAAATCAATTTTTATGTAAGTCAGGAGTAATGTATCGCGTCTTTTTCATAAGATGGCGGTCAAGCATTCTTACATAGGGTGGTGTAATCAAAATTCTGCATAGATCGGTATTTCACTAAGGGATGTTGATCTAGATCGCAATAGGTAAAGTCACTAGATATAGAAAGTACCGCAATCATCCGCCATTTTTGGGCAAATTTGCTGCCAACTTAAAAAAATTGACAAATAAAATCTGAATAGCTGTCATTTTTTATAACCTAACTTCATAGTACTGTCATGTTTTATAAAAATATATACAGATATCTCCAAAGAGGTGGAACAATCCCTAGCATTAAAGTTACTAGAATCTGGTAACTTCCGCCATTTTTGGGCAAAAATCATGTCTTCTCTCTCTAACACACAAGCCCAATGGATTGCGGTACTTTCTATATTTAGTGACTTTAGCAAGAGGTACATTCGTATGACCTCTAGCGGGAAAAAAGAGAAATAAACAGCACTATGTAATAAACTCCAAAGTTAATTGTCAGAGACTTTACAATTCATTTTATCATTTTCATGGATAACTAGATCGAAATGGAAATAATTGAAAAATTTTGGTTGTATAAAGTACTTCGGGTACGATGCATGAAGAACTTGGGTAGAGAATTTAATAAGCTGTCATCTGATGCCATAATATATAGGGGGATCCATATAAAAACGTCGCATTTTTAATTACAGGTTTGGATTCAGTAAAAAAATACACAATTTTGGTAATTTGTCAGTCTTTCTAATTGTACAACTAAGAAAGTTAGCAATAGTGCCAATGTAATCTGAAAAAGACTGTATATGTACCCTTTTTTTTGTCTTTCTCCCAGACTGTAAGCTGAATTTTCATATTTTATACACTTTTCATATTGACTTTTATAAATATTTCAAGGTATAAACTACAACAGACGCAGTCTCCTTTTGCCTGGTAGTAGGGAAGGACTGTCTCCGTTGCTCTACAGAGCCCCTTAGTTCCACAACGAATGCTTCAAGGGAATGCTATTTCCTATCTACCGTCTGGTAGGATGTTCATTCCTTAATGGAGGTTATTTATGTTCAATTGTCACCTGTTTACTCTGTTTACAAAGCCTCAATATGAATTTCTTTAAAAATCGCTAATAGTGGTATGGGTGTAATTTTTGTCAATACACAATCAAAATTACGAACAGAAACTATTCAACAAATTTGATCATATGATAAGATACATCAGGATATGATTGGCGGTCTATAATAGAGCATGGCTGTGACAGTGTTGTGTGGTTGCAGCGCGAGTGCGCGTGACGGTGCATGTGCCCTGTGGACCCGCCACCCAGAAGGGCACCCACTAACCGCCTGGCTACCTGCTACGACAAAAATTCGGTAGGCTGCATGTACTCACTATAACTAAACATACCAGTAACATGATTTGTATTGTTTGTTTTCGTTTTGAACATAGTTCTCATCATAATACTTAAAACAACATACCAAACATTTAATAAAAGACCGAGGCGTGCGAAATTCACATATCTTTCAATATCGAAAAAGTCAATTTCTGATGCACATCTACGACTAGCTAAGAAAATTATGATCATTAGTAGAAATACTTTTTGAGTTCGTTTGTGTGCCGGCAGGGGGCACCCTCTGAAACTGAAGAATCTAAAATTTACTTTTATTTTTTTTAAATCATCTCTTTTGATGGAGTAGATCCCAAGATACGGAGCTTTGAAGTTGGCCTAGAAATTCTAAAATTCAGATAAAGGGCTAATATTACTGTTTTTCTTCAAACGTCAATAAAACATGACATTTGTCCTCATTTCATGACAGCAGTCATCAATCACTCTAGCCATGGTACAATAAGACAAGGTATGCCTATAACTAAACGCAGATGACGTTTTTATCCCAATGACGTCACAAGAATCACCGCCAAGTTTGAAAATGACTTCATACTTGAATTAGAAGTGCCATTGCAATTACTCAATTAATTTGGTTGAGTAATCATACTGAATGCATTTAGATATAAATATAAGGCAACAGAGAAGCTAAACGTACCACTTAATATACTTATTTAAGAAATTTAATCAGCCTTTGAAGTTTTTTTTATTGCCGCTAGAGGTCTCGTCCTTATTTGAAAACGCTAATATAATTTTTACTTTTTTTACTTACATATTTTATTGTAACTTTAAATATTTGTATTGATGACATGCAATAATTGATACTTTGTAAGTTTAATGTGAGAAACTTGACGCGGTTGACATGGATTGAACAAATCTTATCACATCCGTAAAGGGGATACACTTTTATTAACTGGTAGGACTGCACAAACCCCATTACTTTATTGAACGGTAGAGCCAAGTTATCCCAATGACGTCACGCATAGGCATACCTTGTCTTATTGTACCATGAATCTAGCTTTGTTTGTTTCTGAGATGCAGGGTGAAAACGAGAGGTTTCTGGAAACTGCAAGCTTTAGATATTTTCACATAGAATCAATCCAGTGGCATAATTTAAAAAAATTTTGGACCAACCATAAATTTTTTAATTTTTTTGCTAATTACATCACAACATATATTTTTTAAATTTTAACCTTGAACCAAAAATAAAAATCTTATTTTTTACGGTTTTAAATAGTAGGCCATGGATTCATGGAGATTTTGTTTTGTTTATTGTATCCATGGCAACTAAAGCAGCCGATACCAATCAACAAAAATGGCTGATGGTCATTTCAAAAATTTGAAAAATGTGATAATATACAGGGTGTTCATTTTATTTTGCCTACTGTTGCAAGAACTATAAGAGGTAGGCTAAATTAACAAACAATTTCTATTTTACAAGACTATTTTAATGAGCACGAAAAAATTTTCCCAGCCAGTGGTTCACAAACTGTGGATACCAACTTTGTAATATTAAATGGAACTGTATTTTTTTAATTTCTTATTGCAAAGGAGATTTTTATTCTGAATTCAGTGATATACCATTTGTATAAGAAATTTTATGAGAAAAATGCATGTGTAGTAATATAGAAATTGTTTGCTAATTCAATTAACCTCCTCTTGCTTTTATAAAAGCCTTGTAGGTAAATTTGAAATGAAAATTATTCAGGAACGACGTTAAACGCAAAAAGAATTTTTCTTAATTTATTCCGGAAATCGAAGCAATAAAAGTAAACTGTTGAACTCATTGGTTCAAGCGGGTCAAAATTGGTTGGTCATCTAAGGGGTAAAAGTTTTAAGATATGATGTGTGATATGCATCAGAAATTTCATTGGGAGATGGTCTAAGTTGTGTATCAGCACCAAAACTCCCTAATTTATAACAATTTTTCAACCTTGACACACAAGTCGCATTATCACCTCACTACTACTATCACTTTCATTAGTTGATTTATTGAGTCAGTGAAAGTCCTTCCATGACAGGTGCAAAAATTTAACACAATAAATAAAATATTAGTTGTAGAGGACCTTCAGCAGATAAATTGGGTAAGGACGATCTTCATTGGGACATCTTGTACTCTGTCCAAAATGACGGGAAGTTAATAATCAGTTTTATGTATAAGATGAGTCAATAGTTTGATTTATTTATAAAAGTTTACTCGTGTTGAGCCGGCGTCTTACTCAATATCTCTTTCATGAGTGAGGATTCATTAATCTTACCACTTAATGTCGATTTAACTAACACATTCCAATTTTTCTCTTTGTTGCAACTACATTTCAGCTCGCTGTGCATTTTTTGGACAGAGTATAATGAGTAAATGCAGCAATATCGATTTTTGGAGCTCTAAAAATTACAGAATAATTTTGGTAATAATCTTAGTCTAAGATTAGGTCAACGTTCCCCCATCTGTTTACCAAGTGAAATACATTTTCTAGCAATCTTGATATGTAAACAACAACATTGCAAATGGGTTGCCTAAAAAAATTAAGTTAATGAAGATGAACCTATCAAGCCCCACAACCACGAAAAGGCCGAACACTGAGGGGGGCATGCACTCTCTCCATGTGATAGAAGTTTTGACTTAATTTTTTTTAGGCAACCCATCTGCAATGTGTTTGTTTACATACCAAGATTGATAGAGAATGTATTTCACTCGGTAAAAAGATGGGCGGAGATAGACCTAATGTGGGATCTTGTACTATCACTTTCCCTTGCCGCCGAGTGTACGAAAAATGTAATTTATTGCGGATACTGTAAACTATGACAACACACAGTTACTTGCAGTACATAAACTTTGCTTGTAGATGCTAAATAAGCTTGTTGACATTAACTAATTATATATTTTGTGTTTTTTTAATAGCTGAAGATTTTATGTGCCAAAAGATTAACAATCTCAGGTTTGTTGATTTTATTATTATTTCTTTAGAAAAACTGTTTTGGCCTAAGAATTAATAGTTTGAAAGGCTTAGCATTTTTCTAATTAAAACAAACTGCTCTATTACCGCAGGGGTCGACTTTAACACGAGTATTATTTCAGATTCAAATTCGAACAGAGAGAACCTTAATTTAACGAACTTAGATTTAAAAAAATTAAAATTATCAGATGAGGATGCGCTTGCGTTATCATATTTAACACCGGGCCTCTCTCGTCGCATTCAAAAACAGCTACTTGCTCAATTGGCGCCATCCGAAGTAAAAAAATTATCGCGAACTATGTCTATGCGCAGCAGCAATACAGATAATAAACCGTCATCGTCTGACAAAATTAGATACGATCGCCAATCTTCTGATTCGGCAACAAGGACCGTACAGCGGCGCGCAACAATGGAAAGCAGTCCGATACGTTATCAAAGTAGATTTAAAACTGAAAATAAACCGGATTCCGTCGACAATTTAGATGAAACCAAACCGGCCAAATCGTTTTTGCCCAGGAAATCGTTGGGCGATTTTAGACTCCGCGCGTCAACACCGTCCGATCTTGTAAGCAGCGAAAAAGTGAGGGAGGATCACTCTGAAGCGTCGCGTCTCTGCAAGTACTTATCCCCGAGCAATTACTACGAAAATGTTTCTCGTTCTCAAACGCCCTCTCTTGACACTGAGAGAAGCAGATCGGAACACTCACAGCCCACTAGAAAACCGTCCCGTTTCTTAAGGCCTGACTTTTACGATAATAAAGATGCCAATTACTTTTTGAAAGAAAAGAAAGAGCGCGAGCTAGAGACGCAAAAGGTACTAAAAGAAATTAGAGACCGGCGTCGGTTTCGAGATCAATCACTCTCTAGTGAAGTTAACGGGCAGTCGGAAGAGGACAAGAGCATCTCGGCATCGACAGACGAAATTCTCAAGAATGTGTCCGATAACATCAAAAAGATCGAAAACAATGTCCAACAAGAAATGCACGATTATGTCAATCTACCTGTTAAATCCGTGGAAAAAATACCGGAGTACGTGAATGTTAATAGCAACGAAGTGGTGAAGAAGCCCAGTACTTCCAAAATATCGCGCCCGAAAAGCTACCCGGCCGAAACGCACGAGCACAAAAAATTAATCTCGAAGATTCCCGAATTTTCGTCCCCTAAACCGAAAGTTGTAAAGACAAAGAAGAGTGAAAAGGAAGTAGAGAAGCCGAGTAAAAACAAGTTTTTGCACAGCATCGAGAAGAAATTTGAGAAATTGAGAAGCTTTAGCAATTCGCCGAACAGTGTGAGTAGCGAGGACGCCAAAAGTAAAGAGGATAAAAAGTCGAGCGTGGAGGATACGATTAAGCGCCTGCGCGAGCAGAGTTTGCCGAGGACTGCGGATAATTGTATTACTGAGTCAGGGCTAATCAAACGCGCGGTGTCCGTTGAGGATTTAACCAACGCCGATCCTAAACAATTGCAACCTTCGCGTAAGTCCGTTACGAAAATTTTAAATCTGTTCAAAAAGTACGAGGAAAAAAGCAATAAGAAAAGTGAAAAAAGTACAAAGAAAAAATCTAAAGATGACGCCAAAACAAAAACGAAAAGTAAAAGTCAATTAGAGGCAGAGAAGACTGATAAAAATAATAAAGCAATTGGTGCTGAGACTGTGATTTTAAACAACCACGACCAAAAAACTGAGAAAGTATTACAAAACAGCGACGTTCCCAAAATTATCGAACCGGAGGTTGCTAAGAAAATTCAGCGACCCTCCTCGCTTTTATTGGACAGCGTGAAACCTTTTCATACTGAGAACAATGGTGCTAAAAGTGATGGTAACATATCAACCAATAGGGATGCGAAAAGAAGTTCTAAATTGCCAGTCAACTCGTTTCGGCGCAGCTTGAACTTGGAAAACTCGCACGCGGACCCCAAGTTTCTCAAAGGTGAGGACAGCGGGCTACCTAATTGCAGAAGCCCGGCGTTAGATCTACTAGCGCCGCACGACGCGAAAGAAAATCGCAACTCGTTCGCCGCCACCGACGACAGCTCGCTTCTGTCGCCGTTCGACGACAACATGAGCTGCGATTCGTGGTCGGTTTGCTCCGATTATCACACTCACGAGTTGACATCTCCGACGTCGCCCTGCGGCACGTTTTATTCCGCCGACGAAAACGAGTCTGTATCCGATCGAATTCGCAGGAAGAGTTTCTATACTCGATTTAACGAGAAGAAGCGGCCGCGGAAGAGCAGCCTGAACAGTTATCGCGACTTGGATCTGTACAAGGATATGAACGGTCGAAAGACCAACTACAGATCGAACGATTACTCGGACGCCGACGCAATGAGGGAGACGAAATCTTCGTATGGTAATGTCACGCAGGAGCCTTTGAGGTATAAACGTTACGGATGGGATAACTCGAGTGATGGGGATCACTATCATACTCCGTATCAGACTTATAATCCGAGATTTCATAAGCGTTCGACGCCATCGGAGACAGAAGATTTCACTTTGGATGAATCTTCCGCGACTGGAAAACACAAAATGTGAGTATGTGTTTGGTGATTGGTTTCAGGATCAAAAATCGATTAATCAAGCATCTGAGTAATCAATTAATTATTAAAGATCTCGCCCATCCATCCGTGTGCACTTTTTAAAAGCAGCAGTTTTTTTTTTCATTGTCACTCTGGGGATCTCATAAAACGAAAGAGATAGAAAGTCGCTTAAATGGGCAAAGTTACGGCAAAAAACCGGAAAATATCATTTTCGAAAATGCGCTGGCGTTCATTTATTTTCAAAGCTATCTACACTTTTTTACTCTCGCAACCCTACATCAAAAAGAAAAAGAAAGTCATAAATGCAGTTTTTGAACAAGTTCCTACCTAACGTAAGTCCTTTCACACTGTCCCTTTCTCGGTTAAGACAAAAAATAGTTCTAAATTTTCAATTAATCTCATTTAAATATTTTCAATTCAATTTAGTCTTGGTTAGTTATTGACTGCCAATTCAACAATTTTGTTTACTCTATATTTAATAGTAATGCAGTTTCAATGTGCCGTTAAAAATTTCACTTTGTATGTATACAATCAGTATGTAATTTGTTTGTCTCTTTTTTAAGGTACACCCTATATATTACACATTTTAGGGTTTTTACCGTCACTTTAGTTGGTACTCATCACTTTCTGGTATATTACTAAAATTTGTAGCTGTCAAAAATTTTAAAATTGCGTTAGATTCTACATCAAAAGTGCCATTTTGTCAAAATCTTTAATAATAAGAAAGGGCTTTAAAGAAATCGACTAAATTCGAGAAACGCTCTCTAGCTGCCAAACGCTTAAAGATAGCAGTTTCAGGGGATGGTTTATTGGGGTTATTTCTTTTGTGAGTTGCGGTAAACTTTGCTACTACCAGTTTCGTAATCGTATATTTGAATGTCACTTAATTAATTTATATACAGGGTATCGCATTTATTTTGAGACCCTCGATTATTGCAAAAATTAGTAGGGATATCAAAAAATGATTTATATCAAATATTCTTCATATTATATTTTCACATTGCTGTCCTTTAAAGGTCAAGTGTAGGGCAACTTGATTTTTCAAATAAAAACCTCTACTTTTTATTGAATATTCTTATTCTAAATCGACAAATAAAAATTTTATTTGGAAACGTTTTTGCCTGACACTTACCATTTTTTGAAGACACTTCCAAAAGTGCGATTTTTGGTTTGAGCTAGGGAGCTGTACTGTCAAGAATTTGGCGTTTTTTTTTCTCTATCGAGTGACGAAAGCGCATATTTTCGAAAATTACATTTTTAGGTTTTTTGGTCATAACTTCGCTATTTATAGGTATACAAAGAACATAAAAAGGATAATTAATCAGCATAAAATTCCGCACAAATTTGCCCATTTAGGCGGTTTTGTAATTCTTAAGGATTACGAGATCTCCGTAGTGGACATGAAAAAAACCTCTCCCTGTATACAGAGATTCGCATAGACCGTTCGTTAGATGTTTTTAAACTTTCAGTTGAAATAAAAACTTGAAAAAGTTTCTGGGGCTTTAGCGATTTTTCAAGTTTAGCAATCAAAGTCAAAAACTTCTGGTATTCACGGAAGGGGCGCCATCTTGAAACTATTCGCAATGGTCGATTATGGCTGTAAACCAAATTTCAAGTCTCTACTTCAACTGCAAGTTTAAAAACTTCTAACGAATGGTCTATGTGAATCACCCTGTATAAATTCAGTATTTTCCTTTGAAGACCTTTTTGAAGGTCTGTTTGGAGGAACTACAGGGCACACCAGACGAATTAACAACATCGTCAATTGTTCTGCGACAATGTTCCAAGGTCACTGAACTAATCCTCATGATGTCTGCAAGTATTTTATCTAGTGCATTTTCTTTGCAGGCTCTTTCATGCATAACAGGTGTTTCCGTTGCCGTTTTTTCGTAACAGAAAACACAATTTCACTATAGCATGTTGTTCCAATTTTTCAGTCATAAGCATAACACAAATCGACAAACAAGTGAGAGGCTCTTATCAAACAAATGTACTACATTGCACAATGGGAAGTATGGCTTGTCTTTGTGTTGTTGTATCCTGTGGCATGTCCCTGTCTTAAACCTCTGTATCTCATTTTTGTAATTTTGGTCCTTTGGAGAAGGCGTTCTCCATGTCATTGTGTTGTTTTCTGATATTATGGTATTGCAAAACATTGGAGCACTAAATTTGTTGTTACAGAAGCATATTTTTTTGTCACCGAAAACAGCCATTGGGATTACAAATATTGCACATTTTTTAGCCATTGTCTCTGTAGATACCACAACCAATACCGTATAGTGGGGGGAAATAAATTGCATAGTTCCATAATAAATTATGGTGCGTTCAGGTTATGGTATGTTTGGTAGGAGAAAATGGCAAAAATTGGTCAAAAATGCTCCAAATGGGCGTATTTTATGAACTCTTCCCCCTCCATTTCATTTCCACTCCAGAGTGAAATCGATCAACAACATGGAACTCTCCCCTGCCCTTCCACAATAGTGATGCATACCCAGCTTACCATAATTGGGTATAAGTCCAAAACTGAAGGAAACACACTAATATTCTAATTGAATTTCTATTGGTAATCAATTTTGGAGTGACTTTGCTTGCTCCATAATTTTCTCTAGCTTTTCTTCAGCTTTTCAGTTTTTATGGATTGTAGTGACTTTGTGGATCAGCATGAGAAGATCCTGCATGCCATAAGTTGCTCCAACATCACAAGAAACATCCCTCCATAGTAGTCGCTGAGAGCGGAGGTCTTATTATAACATGCTACTCAGAAAAATGTTTGAGATACTAATGATAGAAAGTGGTTCATGCCACTCTGCCTTGTTTCCTCTTAAGGGTGATTACAAAGTCGTATTCTGGCTTATCCTTGTCATGGTATGGGTTAGATTCAGGAACTGTAATTATCTCTATCTCTTTTACTGCTTTGCTTTTTTCTAAGTAACCGAATTATCTCTATCTCTTTTACTGCTTTGCTTTTTTCTAAGTAACCGTTTTCCCCTCGGCTTATTTGTATAAAACTCCTTGGATTGGACTGTTAAGGTTGTTCACTCTCTTTACAGTTACTCTTTCGTACTGGATGTAACAGGGAGAGGGGGTAATCCCTCCCGGTTAGTCATTTTTTTTTCTATATTAAAAAACCTTCTCTCTCACCATGGCATTATTTTTGATAGATCTTCCAGAGGTCTGTTTTTGACAATGTTGTCTCAGGATTCATTCACTAACACTGAGTGTTCCATCTTTGAGCCAACTCTTTGGAATCTTCTATTGTATATGTGATACTCAGTTACTTGATTATGAACTAATGGCCCCTCTGGCTCCAGATTGTTGCAGGGCGTTATAAAAACGTTTCATTCACATTCCAATGATGTAGATATACCATTTTTAATTTTAGGTACAGTTACTACCATCGGCCATCCAGAATCAGCAATAGATCTGCATCGCCTATTAGCGGCCATATTCCTGTTGAATTAGTAGAGTCTTCCATTAACCGACCTATTGTTAATTCTACCTCTCAGAGCCATGTTTAACCTTTTACTCATTTACATTTAGTACCCCTTCTTATTGTTGTATACATACAGCTCAGACGATGGTTAATTAATTATTAAACGAAAGGTGGCCTAGTTATCCGACTGTTTTCGGTTTTTACGTGACTGTTTTAAAGAATGCGCGAAGGCGACGTTTTATTTCTTGTTGCAACGAAAGAAGTAAAATCTCTGCGCTTTTTTCATCAAAAAAATTTGGTGCTATCATTGTTGATTTGTCTAATTAAGGTTCTACGTCTGATTTTAAGACAGTTTAGTTACAGTATGTACATTTTTTAGAAATTTCTCTCATAACTTTATCATGTACATGTTGTTTTGCTTGCTATTTTATATTTATTTAATTATAAATTGCTTATTATATTTATACAACGTATTTTAGTAGAGATGTATTAAAGATGAGCCAAATTGCTCATGAAATTTTAAAAATTATATACCTACTGTTACATTTTTAACTGACATTATTGTTGAATACCTACATTAGTAATTATTTGTTACTATTAAGCAATTCGTTGACTGAGTAATCATTTTACTTGGTTGATCCTTTGGAAATGCGTTAGCTTTAGATTGATTTTGTGTGAACTATTGTATACATAATATAGGATGTTGACAAATTTGTGATTTTATAGGAAATAAAAACTTTGTAATTAAATATAAAAGAATTGTTATTATATTTGTTGTTTATTTATAGATCACGTGTAGCTATAGGTAGTATTAAGTTTCCATTTATTAACAATAGTTTGATATTTTAAATTTCCATCTGTCCATGTGCACGATCCCTGTGTGAATTTGGCCCCCCAATTTTAGGAAGCAAAAAATTTCGTTTTCGAAATGTATCTATGTGCCGGTTTTAAAATTACAATATAATCAAATTTGGGTGGGCCAAATTCATAACTGCCCCCCCCCCCCCCAATTTGACAAACAATTCTTTTTTCATAGAGCACTGATTGCGCCCCGAACACCTTCGATTGTGCCTCCGCCGTTTTTCAGTTTGATTTTTCTTGCGATTATCGAGACCTGAACCTCATTTTAGAGGTCTTACTAGAACAAGGAATGGTTTGTCGAATATATGCTCTCCGAACATAAAGTAGGTACTTTTATATGGAGGTAATAATTTCAACGAACATTATCTTTGCAACCGATAATGATATTTCATAATTATAGTGTTGTTATCAATCACACTTATGGGTTATCATTCACTATTATTAAAAAATAGCCAATAGAAGCAAAGGTATGGTTTGGTTGTTTAGCGACGTTGTCGTTTAACAGTGTTGCTAAGGCATGTCTTCAACAACATAGTTAAGTATGACTTTATAATACCAGCAGTAAGGTTTTCGTTACTACATGAGAGTGGTCAGCTCTCTTTTGTGGCGATGTAAGAGGCGTATACTGAATAGTGCACCTGCTTGTTCGGGGGCCCACATTCATAAGGGACGTGTACGGGTAAGCTACTGCCCCCATACTCACAGGGTACATTAACACATCTGAGCTTCAACCTGTTGAAGTAGTGGCTAAATGAGTCATGTCTCACTATTGCAATTAAGTATGGTTTTTGGTATATGTGGCACAATTGAATATGTTAGCCGCCTCCCACTCACTTGACCAGCATGTCTCTCCCGGGTTCTGATTACATATAGGTCTAGGGATACTTTTTTTGCTTGTTGCGTCTCCTGTAAGGGCCGCCGGTCTGCTACCCGGAGACCTTTGTTCTTTACCTTCTTGGCTCATAGACAATGATACACACCATTTGTCTAGGATGGAGAGAAGGCCTGTAGGGCCTCGTACCCTGTCCTCTTTGCGACTTTCTATGCCATGGGAAAGGTGACAACCTTATGGATGCATTATACAAATTGAGCCACGCAAAATGAGGTGGATGGACGCTGTATGGAACTTTGTATTTGGCATACCTAACTAAAAAATGGCAGGGGGTCGCAAACGATCACAGGAAAAACACCAAATTTAAAAAATGGAGGTAGTATGGCATATTGTATTTGGAATTACTGAAAAACGGCAGCGCCGCAAACTTTCGCACTCTGTCGCTATTGTTTTTCAGCTACATAGACTATCGGCATTGAATAAGCACTTTTCAATGCTATCCGACCAAAAAGTTATTGTAAAACTGATGGATGCGTAGTGAAGATCTCAAGGATCGTTTGGTATTCACTTGTATCAGATTTTGTCCTATGCGTTCCACTTACAAACTGACAGGATTTACACCTTCAAGAATACTTGGTAATGGTTTGCAATCCTTTGGGTATGCTACTGAGCTTGTGATTTTTAGCGTATTTTCCAAAGGGACAGTTTGAGCTAGGAAGCTATTCTGTAAAGAATTTGGCACATTTTTTTCGCTACAGTCCTATAGGTGTGTTTGGCAGTTTCTTTCGCCGTCACAGTGCTGCTAATCGGTCAAGGAACGGTGGTAAAAAAACGCGTCAATAGCAGAACGACCTTTTTAAATTGTGAAAATAATCGTGTAAGTATAATGCTTTTGTGGCATTTAGTCTCAAAATTTTGGAAATAAAATTCAGGTTTCACAGTGTGAAAGGTATGGAATAGTTCACAGCAATGAACGATTCGCTGTTCCTTTCCCAACTATCGTAAGATCTTCTGTAAACTAGGTCACGTAGACGGTATTTCGGTCTAAACACTAAAAATAATGACGGGACACCCTGTATATGTGAATAATTTCAACTTTTGAAGTAAATCTGGGGGGTTATTTACGAAATAATTTCAAGAAAATGCACATCTGGTGCTGATAACAAGGGTGCAGGGATTTCGAAGAGTTGCGCGTTACATATTGGAGAAGTGGCAAGGTTTGGCGCTTTCCGTTGTGATTGGTGATTTATTTGAAAATGTTTAAAGAAGGATTTTATTGTGGAAGTGGTGTTTCCTTAAATATGGGAGAAAACGAGGCTGCTGAGTTTCGCGACGGTTAAAGAGTGTGTAAATTTGTTTACGCTAAAACTCGGGCAGTCGGGCCTATTTGTTTATTTGAAAATACAGTTGGACATTTTTTTTATAACAAACTAAATTTTCTCCCACGACTTAGTCCGCTTAATATTGATGGATATAAATAACGGATACCTAGCCTACAGAATGTAAATTCTAAAGGCATCGGCACGGTATGACGCAAAATATCAGAGTGCGACATCAATTAAAAAAATCCTATACCTAATACGATCGAGCCCAATTGTGAATCTAAACCATCCGGGGATATGTTTTAGAGCATTAAAAAAATTGAAGTAACCCATCCGTCCGTCTGTCCACTCGGAAACTAAATTATACCTACTTATAAAGTTATAGTGTTTTGTGTTGGGTTTTCTGGGCTTATTCCCAGTTCAGTATATTTCCTTCGACATTTGAACCTACTTTCTAGTTAGGATAGGCAAAAGCCATTTTGCAGAAATTTGTCCTGAAATTTTTCTTTCCCCTCCTTTAGGTATGATCTTAGTCCTAGTATGAATTGCAAAAAACATTTAATAGGTCAATGTAGTTGAGTGACCCACATCTTATTTACTATGCCTAGTATTGATCAAACATTACAGCACATCATCGTTCAAAAATGGGCAAAAGTTTAAGCAAGCGTTGCAGCACAAGAAAGAATAAGTTACAAGAAAGCGGTTCCACATTAGATCGCGTAATTAGTCAGGCGTCGATTCAAGACGGCTGTTTCCTGTACAACCTCGCGAATTACAAGAGAGGCGGTGAATTAATCGACGCTTATAACGTGGGCGGCATTGTCGAGGTGGAAAAACTGATCAGGGAACAGTTCGGGCAGTTAATGTATCAGGATGGCAAAGGGCAGATAATCAACCGTGCCGAATATTTGAGATGGAAATTTAGGGATCATCAACAAGTCGTTCTTCCGATCGAGGCCTCGTTGAGCCCTCACGATCCACTTGCGCACTGGACGGATCACGAGGCGTGCTGGCAGATGCAGTACCGTGGGGCGCTAGGTGAAAGTCTTCTGCACGTGTTAATTATGTGCGATAGTAAAATACATACGAAATTAGCGAGGACTCTGATTAGGTGTTTTCCACGTTTAAGTGTTGACATTGTTGAAGGTGAGGAGTATTTAGGCGCAAGCGCTTTGCATTTGGCCATCGCCTATAGCAACAATGAGTTGGTACAGGATTTAATTGAGACGGGTGCTAATGTCAATCAAAGAGCAACGGGCAGCTTCTTCCTTCCAAGGGATCAGCAGAGACTGTGGCCGGCAAAACACACAGATTACGAGGGACTTGCTTATTTAGGCGAATATCCCTTGGCTTGGTCAGCTTGCTGCGCCAATGAAAGTGTCTACAACTTACTCCTCGACAGTGGCGCAAACCCAGATCTGCAAGATAATTTTGGAAATATGATTCTGCACATGGTGGTGGTTTGTGATAAATTGGTGAGTCGGTGATTTACAATGAAAAGTTTATGAGATTTGCACAGGACATGTTCGGGTATGCTTTGAGACATCCAAAGTTGCCTGCCAGCAATGGTATTGTCAATAAATCGGGACTTAGCCCTTTGACGTTAGCCTGTAAGCTTGGTGAGTTTGCGCATTTTGTAATATTTGTAGTTACCCTTTTGTTTTAGGACGAGCCGAAGTTTTTAGGGAAATGTTAGAGCTGTCCTCTAAGGAATTTTGGCGCTACAGCAACATTACTTGTTCCGGATACACTTTAAACGCTTTAGATACTTTACTACCCGATGGACGCACAAGTATAGTATTTCTGTAAAACGAACCGATGAAATATGGTTTTGTAGATTGGAATTCGGCACTTTTCATTATATTGAATGGTACCAAACAAGAGCATTTAAACATGTTGGACGGGGGGATTATTCAACGATTGTTAGAAGAAAAATGGAAAACTTTTGTGCGAGTATGCATACACAGTAGACATAGGAAGTTGCGTTCTATAATGTTTTTTAGAAACAATTTCTGAAACGTTTGCTCATTTTTATTATACATCTTATCCTGTTATCTATGGCGGTCTATTTACGTCCCGAAGATCCAGACGAACCACTTTTACAGGCAACTGATGATGGTGTTGTGATATGCAGGTAACTTTTTCTTTCATTCCTATTAAGGTGTAGAGGGGCCATGTATGCTCTCTATGTCCTAATTCTAATTTCCCCCAGTTCTGGAAAGGGCATTGCTTATAATCACTATAAATAGTAGTGAGCTAATGGTAGGCGTGGTTCATTATTACACTATATCATAGACTATATATATAGAGATCTTAAAAGTATAGTGCTACGAAATAAAAGTCATATTAAGCTTCCTATAACATTTTGTCAATGTCTCCTGATCTCTGGGCCCTCTATAAACTTCTGTCCCCCACCTAAGATACTTCTAGATCTGGGTGCTTTTTAGAGCATTCTAGCGTTGCAGTTTCTAGAACTTTGTAGATTCGCAATGAAGATATGCGCATTCTTTCCCATTTAGAAATTCCTGTGGGCTCTGTAAATCATTCCAAATGCTTTCCAGAGTCTTAGAAGGTTCGTACATTCTATCCTCTTATAGCTTAGGTACTTCTAATGATCTTTATTAGTACCTTTTCTGTGTCCTGGATAATATTAGGCACCTATGGCAATGCTTACTGTAGAGACCTAGATAGCACAAAACCTGCAGGTTTGCATTGGATCATGGAGGGAAACAAGGGGGGCTTAAATGCTGTGGCAAGCCACAAGGTGTGTGGTCTACTCAGAACTTTATATGTCCTTTCCATGGCAATAAGGAATAAATGAAGTAGAGGTTAGGCGTTTTTATGCTTCCCAAAAAATTTTCCACATTCCATAAGTCAGAATCTGGCGCTTACAAGAGTACAAAATAAAATCCACATGATGGCCCCTCTACACCGTGGGAAATTTTTCGTTATTTTACGCATACTTGCAGGTATGTTGCAGAAATTGGCACTATTTTAGCTGTCGTATACTATGTAGTCATTCAACAAGGTGACGAAATAAAAAATCAAGGCTTCTGGACATTTTTGAAGCAACAGGTAAGAACTGGTTCACAATTAAACCCTCCCTTCAATAATATATTTTGAGGTTCACTCTCCCGCAAAGGCGATTTTTCTAATATCCAACTTGCTCATACTGGCCTGTATACCATTTCGTATTTATCGCGATAAGAAAACCGAAGAGGCCATTCTGGCTTTCGCCGTTCCAGGCTCTTGGTTTCTATTAATGTTCTTTGCAGGGTAATTGCTATCTGCACCGGCAAACAACTGACACAATATTTTAGGGCCGTGCGTCTGACTGGTCCATTTGTTACAATGATCTACAGCATGATTACCGGAGACATGTTAACGTTTGGAATCATATACACCATCGTTCTGTTCGGATTTTCGCAATCGTTTTATTTTTTGTACAAGGGTTTTCCAAATTTGAAAAATTCGCTGTATAACAGTTACACATCGACCTGGATGGCTTTGTTCCAAATTACTCTGGGAAATTATGACGTATGCAACAATGCCACCGAGTTGATTTACTTGTAAAGTATCTTTCAGTATCAAGAACTCGCACAAACAACATATCCATCGGTCAGTAAGTCTGTGTTCATAATATTCATGGTTTTTGTGCCAATCTTACTACTTAACATGTTAATTGCTATGATGGGTAACACTTACGCGCACGTAATTGAACAGAGCGAGAAGGAGTATACAAAACAGGCAGGTCTCCCTCCCACCATGTCCACTTCTTAGACTAAGGTTGATTTTAGTGGGCAAAAATTGTTGTGACACTAGAAAGGGCGATTCCACAAGCAGATGCCCACCGTTACTTACAAGAGTATAGTATTTCTTTGGGACCTAGCGAGGATCCTAGCGTGGAGCAAAGAGCTGTCATGGTTATCAAATTGAAAAGTAAAACGAAAGCTAAGCAACGCAAAGGATCCGTAGCCAATTGGAAGGTATGCTGAGGTTATTAACGTTGATGCCTGAGACTGTTTGTTGTAGAGAGTTGGGAAAGTTACGATTAACGCGTTAAGAAAAAGAGGTATGACGGGTGAAGAGCTGCGATGTCAGATGTGGGGAAGAGAATCGATCACTTCTCCTGTGAAAGTGAAAAAGTATGCTCCTTTTGCTAAGTTTATGTGTTATGTCATCATTTGTTTAGAGCTCGCATTGACCCGCTCACAGATCCTCAAGGTCCTAACGTAACGGGAGCATTTGGTGAAGCTTTAACTACAACGCTCGACATAATGGCGTTCACTCACGACCTTGACATTGGTGGAGCCGCTCAGGGTTTAAATTTGGCGAATAACAGCAAACCTGAGCCGGAAAAGAGCGTATATGTTTGGCTTGAGTAACAATAGAAAATTCTTTTAACTTTGCAGGTGAGCATCCAAACCGAAAATAAAGCAATAACTAAGCAGGTGAGAATTAGTAATGAACCACAAGGACCAAGCGCTACGCAACCGCCAATTATATTGCAATGCAATAATCAACCCACCGTGTCTGACGATGTGATAACTACTGATCCATTGCGCGAATTAGTGTTATGCTCAAAGAATTACGAAGCGGAACCAGAAAAGTTAAATCACCTAGCCGTCCAAGCTGCAAATTTATCAGTTACCGAAGAAATAACACTGAAACCACCAGCGGCATCTGGTGTGCAAGCAATTGCGGGAATTTTTACAGGCACAGACACCCTTCTGAAAACAGTTGAGACAATTAAGAAGCGATTTGTTGCTTTAGATCCCAGTGATAGTGAAGAATTTGGAGGTAATTTCCCATTTTTAGCTCTCCAAGCAGATCACTCGCAGATCAGTCTATTTTTTTTATCCCCGGGCACCCGAGTACAATTTTTTTGATATGCAAAATGTTCTTAGATGCACCGTTACTGGGAAAAATATCGAGAACAAGAAGAGCAAAATCTGCTTGTAAAAGGCACTTTTCCGCCAAATCCAAAACGTCCAGCCGTACGACGTTACTAAATTTGCACACAAGTTCCTCAGAAAGTTTGGAGCACGAACATGTTACAGTAGATCTCGACTATGCAGAAGAAAGAATAAGAGAAGTAAGACAATCACAAATGGTAGACAATGAAAATCTGAGGCCTTACAACATTGACGTGGCCGTCGCCAATGATAAACTGTAAGTAGCTTAAGATCAACTAGTGCTTTCATCGTGTACAATCTGATCAGTTCGGTCACCATTTCGGAAACGATGAACATTAAGGAGGAAGGTAGCGGGGTAGAGCTTCAAAGTGGCAACAATGTGGAACGAAAACGAAAGAAAAGAGCAAAAACTGCAAAAGCTAATCGGTACAATACACAATGATAAGTATTCATTTCATGTATCGCTTTCAGGGTGGTGCCCTCTGTTGATGTCGGCAGGAGTTGTTATTCTGCCAATAGAAAGGATCAATCGCCGCCAGAATCTCCAGACCCCTTAGAACCGTGGAGTACAAAAAATATTGCTAATATGAATACAATTCTGGCATGGGAGGACGAACACGACAGTATATAAGTGACATAATTCCTTAGCAACAAACTTTTGATTAATTTTTCGAAATTCTCTGTGAATTCCTAATAATAAAATTGAAATGTCTAAAAAAATAACAGAAAGATTCCTAAAAGAACGATACGAAAAAGATGACCATTATTTTACAGTATATGATCACTATACCCCCAATTACTTCAGTTAAGTGTTAATGCATCTTTCAATTTGACATACTTCGTTTGCCCTTTAGGACCGACTATACCCGGTAAGTTTTACTCGCGCCACGATACCTTGGATTTAACGCAGGCCGATCCGAAACTAGTCGATGCTATAAAGTTGGCCAAAGACAAGTTGCCAAGAGACAAGTATCCATGGCCAGTCACCGAAAGTCACAAGTACCTACCCCTTTTTATATTGTTTTACTTTGTATTTTTTTATTACTACAGTTATGGGTGGTATGAACCCCTTGTGCCACTGGATCGCAATGATTATAGATTCTATTGCCCTGCGAAGACTGCACCTTTTGTTACCCATGAAATCTTGTTGAGATTGGACAAAACTATGCAGAAACCGAAATTTGTTGGTATTCCGTTTAAATTATAAGGTAAGAGATACATACTTATTATGGTTTAAAATTTACTGTGGGAGCAAAATGTATGAGGCTGAGGCTTAATAAAAAAAATACCTATTTCACAGATTTGAACGCTATCACAACTGTGTAACAATATTTGCTGTGTGCAGTGCCATCTTAGACCATATAGTACATGGACTGCTAATTGTAACTAAAATATGGTCAAGGACGTCGCCTGGGTATGTGAGTTTCAGGGTAAACGAGTCTGTTCGAAGTTGTCCGATGAGACACGATTTGAGACTGTCAACCTATAAATTCACAAACGTCAATTAATTAATCGCCTAGATATCCCAAAAAAAGCAAACTTATTCTTATTTGTGAACGTATAGCAAATAATGAAGAGTATATAAAAGCTTCCCGTACTACGCGGTTACTAAATGCTCTTTACGCGATCCGAGTGGTGTTCATACGACCTTAGTTTACCCTGAGATTCATACCCACGACTACAGTGCCCTCTATCCGTGACCACCCATTTTGTATTGAAAGCATAGGGCTAATAGCAGTCCATGTACTATATGGTCTAAGAGTGCCATCCAGTTACTACGCCACCCACAAAACACCTGTCCAGATAGCTCAAAACAAATCAACCTTTAAATTTAGAATCGGAATTATTTTCTTCCAAAAGTTCCAAAGAATTAACTACACAAATTAACACCTCACATAATTCTTGGGCACGAAAAGAAAAATTTCATGAAAACTATCAGAGTCGTATAATGGATTTGAATAAACACAATTAATTGATTGACCATGACAAGAACATATCGTACCGCCTATCAGTCAATATTTTCTTTGATGGTACATACGTTCGGTTACGACGGCGGAAATAAAATTTCATAAAAATCGGTCGAACCGCTTCGGAGGAGTGTGATCGCAAACTGTAAACTGTAATCTTTAAATCCTAAGCGTCTGTTAAATTCTCTCCACGTTACACTTTTTTTGAATCACCCTGAGTAAGATACAATTTATGTTCCCGGTGTCGCACGTTGCGACACATCCAAAATTGTAAACAAGTTCACATAACCTCAAAAAATTTAGTATTGTCGGAAGATGTGTGGCTCAGTCACACGGAAAATATTCAATTTCTTCGAACCTTGACTTTTATTTGAATTAAATTTAAAGCTACCCGTTTAGAATAATGTCCCCTACAATCCGAAACGTTCAGCAACCGGACGTATTACTTGAATTAAAGTCGTTCATCGGAGGGGCTACTCACTCCACGAAACCGAATCACTTCGAATTAACAAAAGCGGCTTTAAACTTATTGAAAACCCTTCCGGCGGCCCGCGATGCTGTATTGGAATACTTCTGCACCGTGTTTAATGTGGCGACACAAAATTTCATAGTTCGCATAGAGGTAGGGTTACGATCGCAATCTGCAGTCCTACGACTCTCTTATTTTAGACTGAAATAGCGACAGGACAGTTGCCGCCTGCAACTGAAGACGATGAGGCGATTATATCGGAAATTCATGGTGTAATTTGTAATTTTGTGTCTAGTAATGCTGAGGCATGGGCTCCGATTATTAGTACATGGTCATTAGAATTACTGGGCGAGTTGTCTACACGATACGCGGGACGAGCTCATGTTTCTACTAGTGTTAACGAAACTCTTCAGCTGTGGATGAGTTGTCGAGCAACACGAACTCTCATCGACATTACCACACAATGCCTCTCTTCGCATATACATTCGGATACAGAGGCTTGTATCAATGCTTTATTAGGTTTGTGGTCGACTCTTTAAAATTTCCACAACTTAGAGATTTTTAGATACATCTGTGAAACACTCTCCCAACTTCGATTGGGTGGTCGCACATGTCGGTAGTTGCTTTCCAACGACAGTCATTACAAGAGTGTTGTCATGCGGATTAAAAGATTTCTGCCAAAATAAATCTTACGAGCAAGGAAGCCAATCGCCTAAACTAAAGTCAGTTGTCGGTATTTTGGGACATCTAGCTGGAAGTCACTGTGAAGATATTCATACTGCACTGCTCGATCTGTTTAACGTAAGCGCGAATTAGGGGTGTTCACAATTTTTGCATTCGTGTTTTAGTGGAGCTTGAAGCCATTGTCGCCCGGAGATCAGGAAGATTGTAAGTTGCAGAAGAAGGCAACCGTACCGTTTCTGCTGCAGTTGGCGTATCTATCACCTACAATTTTGGTAGCGATTTCAAAGGACATTTGTGAGACACGTGAGTTTTCGCAAGGAATTTCTATTTCATAATGGAGGTTTAATTTTGTAGTGACTCTCTCTGCCGTAACGCAACTATGCAGGTTTATTGATGACTGGTGTAAATACTTTGGGTCACCTGATGCCTTAAAGGTAATTTATTGTCTAATATTGAATTAACACTACCTTCTTGCTGAAAGAAGTACAATCATGTTTACTTAAATTTAATGTGAAATAGTGCATTTTTGATTGTATAAGCACTAGTATCCCTAGGTAGGTTTTGGTGCCTGACTGTTAACAATTGGTTCGGATTATGCACCAAGGGGGGAGTCACTTTTGCAGAAAGTAATGACAAAAGAAACAATTGCTTTCGTTTACCAAACACTTTGTATTTATTTTGCACCTAAGGGGTGGTCCATTAATCAAGTTTTTAGCAATTTTGTAAACCCCCTACCCCTGGTGATTCGTGGTGGGGTTGGGGTTTAAGACTCCTCCCCCCACCCCATCACGTGTATTTTTGTAGTATGTACATCTTAAAAAATTTCAGTATGTTATTTTTATATACAGGTAAGTACCTATTTAATTTAATTATGGAAAATGAAGGAGTGATAAAAATTTCCAGACAGACAGAGACATTAAGGTTGCAGGTTTAGAAATTGTGCATTTTAGCGAAATAATAAATACACGTGATTATCTCGCTACACTCCTCCACCCTTCTGATTTTTTGAGTCCCCTTCCCCGCCAGCGTCATGTTTGTTCGGAAAGCTACCTTCAATATTTGTGGAGTGATTTTCAGCAAACTTAGGCAAAAGTTGGGTGTGTTATGAAGGCATGATTTGTGGGTCAAAACGTTAGATGCAAAGATACACAAAGGTCATGTGCGATTGAAATTTTTTCAACGAAAATTGTACAGGGTGTCAATGCCAACATTACTATTTTAAATACATACAACACCCTGTATATTATTATATTTTTGAATTTCTCAAAACATATCTCTTATAATGTCTATCTTCAATGATTTCGATGATTTTTGATAGGGCGCTTTGATTTGATTTGAGGAATTGAATAATTGCTGGGTGTAACGCAATCAGAAATGATCCTGGTGTTTTTAAAAAAGTTCGTGAGTCAACGAGGAGATTGGATTCTTGGCTACTGGTAGCCATTTTTTTTATTGCTATCAGCTGCCTTAGTTACCATGGATACAATAAACAAAACAAAATTCCATGGCCTACTATTTAAAAACCGTAAAAAATAAGGTATGGTTGATATACAAAAAGGTGGAGAAATTCGTGGTTCAATATTTAGAAAATATATGAAATCTAGCATGCCGTGTGCGGTGTCTGTTATGTTATACTTTTTTTGTATATCAACCATATGCATATTTTATGTTCTCGTACAGAAAAATGATTACTCTTTTCAAAAATCTTAAAAAAATATAGACATTAAATCAATTACCGGTTTGACCGGAAGCGATACCACAAATTTCAATATGTCCTTGGATAGATCGCATACAAAATTATATTTGACGATTTTTTCGAATCTCTTCAAATAAAAAAGAAGATCCCCTTATGTCGAACACACTGTATAATGTGGTGATAGGATCATAACGTTTACTTCAAGGTTTCAAACGTTTGATGCAAAAGATCCGAGATATTCTATCATTTCTACATTTTATTGTAACCATTAATTATTAAATTCTGACCATCCATTGTTGTCATTTTTAATAAATAACGACACAAAAGAAAGTCGTCCACAAAGTACAAAAAAAAGCATTATAAAATAAATGCTACAACAGATTTTAGAAATCTATTTGTCTTGGTTCCCCATGGCATTGGAGTCCGGTTCGAGATTGAACAATTTGATTTCTGTGGTAAATTCTTGCACAATCTCTGAGGCCATGTAATCCTCAAAGGGATACTACGAGTACCCCAGGTCGGCAGTGCAGAAGCTTGATTTAACCAATTACAAGCTCGTCCTCATTTTTTAGGAAATCATAATCAACCTAATCATAAAGTGTGAAATAGGAGGAGTACAAATCATAAACATCTTCCTGGATTGTATTCTAATCGAGAATGTTTCCATCGCTAATACAATGAAGAACAGTATACAAAAGTGCGCGCAGGAAATGCTCGGTTTGTTTTCCAATGAATTTTCTAACTGTAGAATAATAATTTGCGTATAGAACATCTACTTCAAGAAATCGATTCCTTGGTACGGGCACAATCTCAACATCCTAACACCGTCATAAACATTCTCGACTCGTTCATCCGCGAAGTGGCCGAATTAGACGAGATTCTCACCTCCACACAGTTGAAAGCTAGCACCGCTGCGAAAATAATAACATTTATTGGTAAGTTTCTAGACGCATCGCTGGTAAATCACAAACGATTCCGCTCAGGTCACAATAATCCGTCGGTCTTGGTGAAATCTTGCGCGCATCTGTTCAAAAATGCGACCACGAGCGAGCACTTGGCCTCGTTGGTTTACATTTTGACCAACGAGTTATTGGACAAGACGCGAGATCCCTACTGCGAAAAAGGGGGCCATTTTGCTGTGATATTGCACCAAGTTGTGACACAGGCTGAAGAAATGCCAGATGGTTCCAAGGAAGAAGCTTACTTGCAATTAATTAAGAATTTGTTAATACTTTTACGGTGAGTGGATGAAAGCGGGTATGCTTTCCTAATACTGCCAGTCAAAGTGTTTTGGGCTAATTTGAAACTAGTTTTTCTCTTCTTTTTAAATGTAATCATTGAATAAGCACTTTAAAGAAGTATAACTACATAGGAAAACCTGAAATTGGTGTAAGGTGTGTTGCATACACTGCAAAGTGGTTAATTACCACAAATATTGAAAATAATGACTATTTTAAACAGGGAAACCAGTTATATTTAGGGTCCTTTGTTTTCCTTGTTTATCAGAGTTGAACGGTGTTGTCATATTTACCAGATCCTTATATGGAGCTAGGTAAAGTTTGATTGTTAATTATGTAAAGATAATGGTCCTTAGAACATTGAAGAATTGTTTTCTTATTAGATTAAACTACATTTTTTACTTTATTTATTGTTCCTTATGATCTTACATTTCATATCGATCCTCCCTTACATAATATGGATATTGGCACTGAATAAAAGCTTATTCAATATTTTAATCTAGTTTATTCAAACTCAAAGCGCTTGCCAAAAATCTGGCAACGTTGGAATTTTAAAGAAGTAAAGAAATCTGCAAAGACGGTAACTAGCTTTAAATTTGTGGTTCACTTTCCCCCACAACAGAGGGACGACAGAATCCTGGGCAGATTTTCTCATTTCATCAGTTAACACGGGGTGCTTATTCAATGATGTAATGCATGAGAATTTTGTGATCAAACTGAGCTTAATTGTTGTATGGTACAGCTGGGAAAAAAGTGAACAGTTTCCACTATTACACTCGAACGTTATTTGGAGAGCAGTCCACTTCAATATCATTAATTTAACCAAACTGTTCGGGTCGAAGGACTACAACCTCGAAGTGCAACATGCCGTGGCAGAGTTACTGGATTTTTTAAGACTGCCTTCGCTAGACGGGATCAATTCCTATCCCATCCCTCTGCAGGCGGTTTTGAACTTAACTTCTGGAGCGGTGAGGTACTTCTTTCGCTGTTGTAGCGAATCAGGTGGGTTTACACTTAATGTATCGGTGTAGCATTTTTACCTTTGATAGATGTAAAGAAGTTTTTGGGTCTCGGCCGAATTAAAAACGTGCTGAAACGAGTGGTGTTGCACTCAAAAGCCGCGAAAATGTTGGCGCTGCGCGAGTTATTAGAAGGTGCGCTCTTTTCCGATACCAAAATGTTATTCGGTGCCAAAGCGGAATCGTCCTTGAAACCGGATGACTTTGAAAAGTTACTGATTGAACAAAACAGAAAGAATGTAAGCATTTCCTCGTATAGATGGCGCTTTAACCGGCCGATTAAATTGTAGAGTAAATCCATAGTTTTAACAAAGAACTCGTCAGTGTTGCATGGCGGTGTCATCGGGAATGGTCGAAAGAAGTCCATCTCTTCTGCAGAACTTTCAAAGGAAGCTATCTCAGACAATACTGAGCAATTTCTCAGGACCCTTAAGGCGTGTTGCACCGTACCAGTAGGTGATGATGATACTGCAGGTGTCGACGTCTCAGTTGATAGCTTAACTTCTGTTTCATTATTGCTTGTACAATTTGTTAGCCCTGATGTTATGTATAATGGCTTACCGTGGCCAGAAGAAGAATTTTGCAAGGTATGTTTTCTTTTAGGATTTATGATATTTACATCCTTTTCTAGGTCACAATCGAACGCGACTTTTACATACGAAGGTTATTTAACGACACACCTTTACTATGGGACTTGTTGACATTTGTCGCAATGTACCGACCTACCCTATGCTACTGTTCGGTCTTGCTACGCGCAATCACGGCGACGCTCATTCACCAGTGGAACAGCATAGGCGATCAAACTCACTTGGTCGATCCATCAAAGTACAAAGCAATGTTGGACACAACAACGAAAGTACTCGACGTGATGGCGCTCGGACAATTACTACCTCCTCCCTTGTCGAGCATACGCGACGTAATTCCCTACGTTAAATGCTCTGAGGTACGTAAAGCAGTGGACGTGTCCTCGGGTGTTTAAGCGACTTATTACAGATCGTTCAGATTTTACGAGATTGCGTGTGGAATTATATGCGCGACAACGTACCGTCGCCCGCTCTGTTTAATTGTGATAGCTCTGGAATGGTCTGGCGCGATCCGACTACGGCGAGACCTCCGGAGATATATACGACGACGCTTCGTATTATAATGCAACAAAATATCGAAACCGTGGGACACTTATATTGTCATATGTTTATTAAAATACCATCCAATGAGTAATCCGGTTCTTTAAAATACAATTTACTTTTTCGAAGAATCAAAATGCTTAACTTTTCTCAGGTCAAAACAGCAAACAGATTCACAGTACAGGTAAGTACTGGTCCTGGTCGTTTTGGTAATATATCTGTTTATGCTGCCGAATCTACAACTAAATATTTTTGATGTACGTCTCCATTTTTCGATAAACGTTTGTGAGTAGAGTAAAATATAACTTCGAAGTTGTATAACGTTTATTATAGCCATAAGAAAATTATAATAAACGTTATACAACTTCGAAGTTATATTTTACTCTACTCTACAACTAAAATTAATGTAATTAATATTTCTGTCTGCTTCTCTTACATCGATGCGTACGTTACTTCTTTGACACGGAACAATACACATGTTTCTCTCTCGCGCGCTACTTAATATTGCAACAACCTCCCTGTAAAAGAGAAGGACGCAGTGTAACAGCTGTTGTAATATACGCATCCATGTAAAAGAAAGTGCCCCATCCCTACGCCCAGCCTCACCAGCTGCGTAACTCATCAGCCGCCACTGGTGCTTACCTTGGTTATTAGCTGAAACCTGAAATAAATGGGCAAGAATAGAAAAATCTGACATGAAAACTACCTGGATCACACTTTGGACTCGAATAAACACACAATTGGTTGACAATCACAAATTTATTTCGAAACACATGAAAGAATTAAAACAAAATCCCTGAAAGACAGGCGTAGAAATCCTATTTGGACATTACCCCGCACGCAGGCGGTCGGCAATTAAAGTAAGAAATTTAAATTTTTTACAGTTTTTTTTCTTATGGTGGGTTTATACCACTGAAATATGGTTATAGTGGAACGCGCGCTTTCTATCATTCTCTAAACGCTTTTATCATTATTGCTGTGGCCCGGCGAAACAAAACCATTCACAAAAAATAATTGCAATTCCCCACATTAGGTGAGGAAATAAAAATGCTGTGACCCTTGAACTTATAGGGCAAACACAACAGTTCTTAGCTCCATAATGAAATTTCTCTCAATACACATCCGCGCCCTCGGCACAACAAGATAAAATCCGACTTTAAATTCCTGATTCCAAGCAAACAATTGTCAAGATCAAACTCGTTAACTTCCAAAAAGGTCATTTACCAAATTTTGAAAGCACTTGAAATGAACTAGTGGGCGCGGATAAACGAAATTAAACGTAATTGAACATGAGAAATCTCTCTTCGTCGTTAAAGGGATCGAATAAACACACAACTTGCATGATATTACAATAATATTTATTCTACGACCACAAATGAAATTAAACATCAAATCCTAATTAACAAACTTCTGAATTCCAGTATTTTAAAGATCAACCACTTTCACTACCTACACCATAATCTCAAAATTTCAGGAACCTCGCCAATCACTAATAGCTTTGATAAACACAGCTTCGAAAGAACGCGTTAAAAATGTCCCCAAACTTGCATCTTCGTTATCAGCACCAGAAGTGCATTTCCTTGAAATTAATTAACTTTTGCCTAATAAATACTCATCGGAAAAACAAATACGGAAATACAAATTCAAATGAAACGAAGTATCTATTCTCCCAGACTTACTTAACAAATTGAAATACTCTCATGTACAGGATGTCTCATCATTATTTTTGGTGTTTAGGCCAAAATGACGTTATTTACACAAAAAAATTCTTTTCTTGTGTTATATTTTCCTGCTACAAATTCATCTTTAAAAAATTGTATCAGGGTCACATAAATGCAAGAAGGCGTAAAATTCTAATTGACAGACACGTTCACAGATTTTCCTGATGCAAATTTTTCTTCTAATACTGAGATCAAGCTCATGGAAAAGTAAGAAGGTGTAAATTTACTGACAGACACCTTGTTGATGGTATGTTCTCGTGATTGTTATAAATAATAATTCTTATATCAGGGCCAGATCACGAAAATGTAAGAAGGTGAGACACTTATTAATAATGTCAGCTTATGTAGGTAGAAATTATCATACAAGCAATCGAGCAATGAACTAATGGTTCACGAACTGGCTACTACACCATTGACTTAATTTTTTATTCAATGCTACTACTGATTTTGCCCACTTGTGCTGTGTATTATCTTTTTGAGTTCGGTCAGAAAATCGAAAAAAAATCGCTCAGATTCACGGTATGTTCACATACTTATCTCCTCCTTTATGTTTTCCTGATGGAAATTTCACCTTTTAAAAATGGTATCAGGTATCACAGCATTAGGTACTCAAAGAAACTGTACAATTTAAATCTTGTGTAGTATGTTCTCCTGATACAAACTTCAAAAACACAGAAATTTTAACAGTCATGGATTGAATTAATTTTTCTGATAAACAGAAAAGCATGTAGGTATAAAATTGTCCTGTTATGTGCTCTTGATACAAATATTTTTTATTCAAGGTATCAGGATCTTAAAAATCTTGAAGGTAAATGCAAAAGGATGTAAAATCTATTGGGACAGAACATAACTCATGAGGCTGTTCTCCTGATCAATATTTTTAAACTATTGATATCAGGACAACAAGAAATAAACCGCATGTAAATCTGTTCTAGAAAAGTAACAGAGGGGTGTAACCCTATATGGGGTCATTCATTCAATTTATTTTAATAAAAATACCCGCTGTTTTACCTTGTGGTATTTTAGCAGGGTTCCTCTAGTGTGGTTTTTGATTTTCATACAATTTTAGATTTTTCTAAATTATTGAAACCTATATGGGGTCATTGGATTTGACCCATGTTCAATCGGCTTGTTGAACCGAAAACTCTTCGATGTTTCAATGACATGGCATGGCTGGCGGTCTTTACAAAAATACAAGACAGAGTAAGTTTGATTGATAAATTCTCCTGGTACATACTTGTTATATTAGGAGCGCAGAAACACCTTCTAACTAGAAAAATGGAATAACTAGATTCCTTTTAGTAGGTTTTGTTTTTCCAACATGACAGTTTTTGTTTTTTACTTTTGACGGTTTCAAAATTTCACCATCAAAATTTCTGTAGCTTAAATTAGAGCTGGATCAAAATTCTAAATTTAACAATGACTACAGTATTAGATAAATTAAAAAGTCTGGTAAACCAAGTTGAGGACAATGGGTATGTGTTATCTTTCACTTTTGGGACAAAAGATCATTCCACTAATTTTTAGCTGCCGTTCATCTCCATGCACTCCGGTTTGCAGTCCCACTGATTTTCCGTACCTTCAAGTGTGTATGCTTGATCCGCCATGCACGGTCGTACCAACCGAACCGAAATATGTTAAGCCCTTATGTTTGCCTAACGCGCCACCACCTCCTACCGTTTTGGTTTGAACTACTTTTAAATGCTCGATCCGCAACAATGTGCCTTTTTCAGGTAGTCGACCCTGAAACAGAGTACAAAAATCGTAGATCGAATTTTTATAATTACCACAACGTGGATTACCACAGAAAACAAACCAATCCCGACTGCGAGCAACCCAAAAGTAACCGCCCAGTAAAAAATCCCAGGTGTAGCCAAAAGCTCGCCTGCGAATGCGATCCAAACGCCGGATGTCCGACCGGCTTTAAGCCGTGCCAAATCAAACTTTGTCCACCGGCCGGTTGTCATCCCCTGGGTACGTGGAGAGCAACTGTACAGCCATGCCCGCCTAAACCCTCGAAAGGTTCGAGCATCAAGTATGAACCTGGGGAGTGTACGAGACCGTGCTGTTTGCATTGGAAACCGAAAGGTGGCCTTTGCAAGTATGACAAACCCTGCAAGGCTCATTGTTACGATCATCCTTTTGGAGTAAAACCTTCTGGAAAACCTTGTTAATTTATGTTTAATTAAAAAATCAAACAGATCACTATTTTTCAACTCTTTCGCTGGATTTTTTGGTTTTGGTTATTTTATTACAAAGACGAATATTATACAGAAATTATCACAATTGCAGTATAGCTTAAAGTTTACAAAACGTTATCATCGTGCAAGTTAATGTTTAAATTGTTAAATTGTTTGTCGGTTAACATTTTCCACTTGTAGCCTAATATTTGAGAAATCTCCTTCTCGACAGCCTCAAAAGACCTGCTGTTTGTCTTCAACCAGATATAAAGCTCGTCTTCCCATTCGGAATTTTGGGACCAATCGCAACGTTTAATCACCGCATTACTTCGCACGTGCAAGTAACGCAAGTTTCTCGCCGTGAAGGCGATGAGCAGTAACGTTGCCGTCGAAACCCGCTCGTTGATGATCTACAAATCTTTGATGTATTGGAGTTTTCGTGACGCTAAACCTACCAGAACTTTCAAAGAAGTGCACTGTCGACAGAGGAGCAGTAACGTGCAGTCGATCCTCTCGTGGAACGACTTAGACCGATAGTATCTGGGGCGATTCTTGTGACCGTATATGGTTAAAGTCTTCCGGTACAGTTCTACAGCATTGATCAGCTGCAAGGTTTGGGTCTGAAAGGAATATCGACAATCGGCACATTTTCAAATTGACAACTTACAGTGTGAGGCGAATCGTACAAGATTGACTTTACAGGTGCGCCATCCTGCCATATTAGTTGCCGATCTTTATTGCACTGTAACTCTAAATGGATGCACAACTTCGGATTGTTCCTGTGACAGTTCTTCCATATTTTCGCCGGGACAGGTTTAATTGTAAAGTCGCTCGGTGTGTAGCGATTTTGGAAAATGTGGAGGTGCCTCAATTTAGTGTAACCGAGCAACTCCACCATGTCTTCCCCCAAGTTTTGCGGACTAATTACTAGCACCTGTAGGTTTAAAAAAATGCCGACGTGCAAGATTTGGTACTGCACTCTCGTGGTGTTCACTAGGACTATCGATTGTAGGGTGAGATAGCAAGTTTCGCAAACACCGTCTAGTAAATACTGGGCTTCTTGGGGATCGAGCATCAGGTCTATGAGTTCAATTTTTTTCAGTTTTCTTAAGTTGCTCATGAGGCGCTTGAGGGCGTCAAGCAGTTTTCCTCCGGTCCCAAACAGACGTATGCGCTCCGTTTCGTCTCTGTTGGCCATATTGCATGGGAAAGTGAATTTTAAGCTTCGCACGTTTGTTCCCACCCCACTTTTAACAATATCTCGCGCTTTTTGTTCTGTGTACCACGATATCATGTTCATGAATTCGTAGAGATTGTAAAAGTTGAGCATTGGATCCAACGTCAGATGTTTGAAGTATTTACCTACTTGTGCAAGACAAGCTTGTGTCCGCAGATGATCTAAAACATACTGAATTTCTACGCAATTAAACCTAGCCTGGCACGCTGCGTATTCACCTGCCACCCCGAGTAATAATTAAATCTTCCACGGGTCAACGTGGAGTCTTCCAGTACGAACTGGGCCCAAACTTCGGGCAAGTAAAATGCGCGATACCATCCGCGACACACTAGACTGCAGTAGTATTTTTGCCTGATTGACAGGTAGGAAAAGATTTTCCCCAAGAGTATATCGGGAAGTTGCGACCAGGCGGAATTGCAAATTTCTCCGTCTGTTTCATCTTCGTCCTCATTGTCCAAATCAATGTACACCGCTAAATTATTACGGTTTTAGATACTTGATAAAACATATATGGCAGATAGGTAATGTTTTGGCGAAAGCTACCTGTATCATCAGTTGCGCAATCATCATGCATGTTTATCCATTTCTCCGATGGAAATGACGGTTCATCATTCACCTATAGGTACACATGCTTTAATGTTTACATCGGCAATAATATATTATTAGTCACATAACAGTTGCATCGGTATTATTAGTATAAACATACAGAAGCTTTGAGCATCGAGCAATTCACACCATTAATCGATACCTTTCTCCTCACTAACCTTCCAACAGGCTTTTTTCATTGTCTTTAACACAAACTTAGACTTAGATGTTTTCGTTTTAAGACTAGTTCCAAAAATAAGGTGTCTATAAATAAAGCGGACATGTGATGTTATTTAAATTCAAATTCAATCAACTTGGTTTACTTACATAGGTGGGTTTTTCTTATTTTAATACGGTCCGTGTAAATAACAAATTTGTCTAACAAAACAAGTGAGCTGCGAGTATAATTAAGTTGCTCAGGCATAAACTGTGTGACCTCATTATTGGTACAAATTATTTTAAAATGTTACGGATTTAGTACCTGGTAGACTTTCATTTGCGATGCGCGCTTATTGCAATAAAATGTAAGTTTAAAAGTACACCCCATCTATAATATGTTCTGACATACTTAATTATTCTTTTAATTTTACATAAATGCATCAGGTGCATCTTTTTTGAAGTGTTTGCCAAGGCGCGTTGCTTATTGTTTACAAACGCACTTCAAACAATGCCGAACTACCACCTCCAGATGTGATACCGGAACGATGGCGACCCTAGGATCCCTCGCAGCGACTTGCCCATAGGTTCGTGGAGCACCGCAACTTTGGGTGCTCCAAAACCTCAAGGCTTTTTCTTAAACTGCCCTCAGCCAGACCCTGGAGTGCTTCCCTCCGATCTGAGACGCTTGGTCCCTGACGTCGGGTTGCTCCCCTGAGCCAACGGCCCAGACACAGCTTTAGGCTTTGGCGCTTGACTCGAACTTTTACCCTCGAGCCGGCACTTCGTGGCCATCGCTTTCTGTGCGCCAGTCATGGGCGCCGCTACTAAAGGGCAAGGGGGGCCCGGGCCCCTCCCTGGGATTTGAGAAATCACTTAATCCCTTTTAGAAAATGTTGAAAGCTCACAATAAAACCAGAACACAGCCACCTTTTTCTGTCCCATCGCGCCTGTTCGGTGACAAAGCAAAAGTAGGTAAACCTTTTATAACCTTATTGAGTTACCTCAATGTCCATAAAGTTGCTATACTTATTGTATAGACTATAGAGATTAAATTAACCGAAGACCGCAGGGTGGCGTTTTGTTTTGAAAAAACATCAATGACAATATTATCATGTCACTTACATATTTCGGTTCGGCGCTTTTTAGCGCATTTTCCAAAAGGGAAACGAACGCTATTATCCGCACTTTCTCCGTCTTTACCATTACTAGTCCTCCACTTTAAGCTTTTTCGTTGTGGTTTCTTTCTTATACCAAAGAGTATTATGGGTACTCTTTGCTTATACAGTGTAGCACAGCCTCGAGGCCAGAACGACAAAAGACTTTTGGATTAGTCACTTCCTTCCCGACCCCGAGCTATTACTGATTTTGTGCGGGGAAAATGCGCTTTCGTTGGTCGCGAGTGACCACGTTTTTAACTTGTTATGGAATAGATGCACATAAAGTGATGAATATACGAAGAATCGCATACGATTCAGTAGGGGAATTTTTTGTTACTCAGCTCGTATTGGGAAACCAGACTTTTCATCCGGCTCATATTCAATAGCACCGATTCTTGAACTCGTAGAAATCGATTGGTGAACATTTGAGATCGCTGTGTCTTTTCGTTCTTGAGTTAGACGATGAACAGGCGCACAGGCGGACAAAACCATCACGTAAGAGGATTTTTTATTCTTCCGATTACATTGTTTTACCCTACTCTACATCCAACATTGTAATCAATAACATTATGGTTGGTGATTTGTTATAGTTTTGAGTAGAAAAATTATGCAGACACAGTTTAATGTTACAATTTGCCCTCGAATTTGCCTTACGCACTGTAATTTTTATCACCTGCACGTTAGTAAGAGAGGTATTGCATTGGGGTAAAAAATGACCCCCCCCCTACTTTTTTTCGGAAATACACGTTTTGAAGCACCAGGATTCCGAATCCAACAACATTTTGATGATGTCGGTCTGTCTGTAGTGTACTGTTATTGTAACCAAATTTGGTACACATATTCTTAGATATAAAAGGAAGAGCTGAAAAGCTTTCGGGGAGAATAGCGCATGCGCAAGTGTGTTAAACTTCATATCTGGTACACGTCATTAACGGCTGAACCGATTGAAACCAAATTTGGTACACATATTTTTGAACCTAAAAGAAGGTACAACGCGCATGCGCCGGTGTGCGAGTGGTATCTCTGCTAACCACAGCAAATTTTATAATATAGTGCTATTAATTTCATTTTTTTTTCAGTAAACTACTGTAACTTGTTACTTTTGTTCTTGTTTTCTTTTGCGTTAATATGTAGGTACCTATTACACTATTACACCAAGTGGTTTTTATTGGATATATGATTTAGCTGCGTATCCTATTGAGTGACTAATTTAAAAATAGTTAGGTAACATTTTCTATTCCAAAAATGTACAAGGGCCCCTCCCTAGCGCATTTTCTTCCGGCGCCCCTGGCGCCAGTCCTATTCTTCTTGCGAATAAGAGGTGGTCCACCACCAGGTCCTTGATTAAGGAACCCGCCCCCTCTTTTTGAGCAATTGTACATGGTTATAGACAGTTTTTTTTCGTCATATGATAAATTTACCATCCCTTTTTTCTGTCCGAGGACTTAGCTTACTTATTCTATGCGTAAATCCACCTCAAGCGAATTACTCTTAAAAGGAACTTGTGACTAAATAGTTTAACGCTGGGGTATGAGTGCTTCTGCTTGATATATGATTCTGGAAGCATTTTGCTTAAAATAATTTATTTACACGCTGTAATTTTGGCCGCTAGACTAAAAGTCAACGAGAGGAATAGTTCAACAGGTGACTAACATTTGTCCGTTTAAATTTGGAAAATTGTTTGAAACATGAAACTACATGAAATTATTACATTATCAAGGGACGGCCATTTCTAGACCCTCCTGTATATAAAAATTATAGGGGAAAATATGAAAAAGTTGGTAACACGAAACACCTGTCGTGTGGCAGCACTGTTTAATTTCATTTCAAACTACAAAAGGTAACGAACAACAAAAGAAGAAGTGTCACAGTGCAGTGAATTGGTTGATTGTATTTAACTGAATATCCATTAATGGATAAATGTTTAGTATCCGTTTGTGTTCCGACCAGTGAAATATCTACAATGGAGGAGAATTTCAATTTAATAGGTTTTAACAGTCCCGAACAAAAATCTGCAGAAAATGCAATCAATCTCTCACCTGGCGATAACCCTTTTGATCTGTTATCACAAAACGCAGATTTACAATTTATGGACGAACTTAAAGATTTTGAATACTTTATGAAAGGTGAATTCATTGGGAAAGAATCCTTGGGTATCTTAAAACTGGAAACTTTAAATGCCAGCTGCAACAGTGAACATTTTTTACATAGCCCAAGTTTTGACCATCAGGCGTCCAGAGAAGGTCTGCTGAATGTCGCCTACTTGCAGCTGCCGTCGTTGCATTTAAACGATAAAACAGAGTCGATTAGTAGCGGATCGCGTTTTAACTCGGGCAGCCTGATGCCAAGCGAGCCGTCGAACATCTGCTCTGTGAGTTTCGAACGGTCTGAAAATCTTCTAAATGATGCCTTTATGAGTAACAAGCGTCAACAGAGAGCTGTGTCCGATTCCACTTCGAAACCTCACGAAGGAGTGAAAGTTACGCCCGCCTTATCTTTGCCTAGTGTGTTTAATAAAAGTGAAGTAGATCAGGCCAGTAGCAGGTTGGAAAGGGATTTTTGCGATAGTTTTGTAAGTATCCAATTGATCTTGTTTATCTTCATTCTTTTTTGTAGAATGATTCTGTTTTCATTGAAGCCAAGGATGTGGCCGCCAAAATCGCAGATGGGTCAATGGTTTTAAATAAATGTAAGTTAAATGTATAGAAAATATTTGTTAATACAGGGTGTCACATTTTTATGTTGTCAATACTTTTTTAAAATAGAACACCCTGTATATTTTTACATGATTTTTGAAGTTGGGAATTCCCTGCATTGGATTAAATTATAAATGTTGTAGGTGTACAAGATGTATTTCTGGACCATACAAGCCCACCGAAGTTAGTAGACCTTGATGAAGAAGAATCTTTCAATAAAGATAATGAAATATGTTCACAACCGTTACCTCAAGAAGTAATTGAGAATGACGTTGCACCAACCGTAGAAACCTGTGAAAAAGATGCAGTGAAAAAAAATTTATCGAACATATTTAACGGTGCCGAAAGGAGACAAAGTCACAGTAGTAGCGGGAGTAACGGAAGCACGCGAGACCCTAACGAGATACTATTCAATCTCTCGGCGATTATTAATAATGATAGACGCGATTTGAGACAAAGCAAAGAGGGTCAGCAATTGTTGTACAGTCTCGCCGATATTCTTTGTACAGACAATTTATCTAAAAACAAATGTAACGATAACTTGGATGATTCCGGCCACTCTTCAATTGAACAAGACCAGAATAATCACGATGTTCACGCTTGTTTCGAGGTTTTGGATTTTCGTGTCATTAGTAAGTCGAGTGACGATATGCAAGCACTCGATCTGTCCACAAAAAATAAAGTTGACGGTGGCAGGCGTCTCAGTCAGTCGTTCACTCTGGCTTCATCTCCAAAACTGTTTAATAGGTTAAAATCGCAAAGTTCTTCGGGTTCTTCTGTCTCTAACACGAAATTAGGAAATGCTAGCAAATTAAAGCCGAAAAAGGTCGATGAAAAGCCACAATCGGCTAGAGGGCCTTTAAAAGCAGTCATACCGGTTGTGAATATGGCAAAGCGAAAAAGTATCGGCGGAAAAGCGAATGTCAGCAGCGTTACACCGCCAAAATTGGGGGTGTCGCACCCGTCTTCAATTTTCGCAACAAAACGTACCAGTACACCAATAGCTGTAAGTTTGCCGGAACATTACAAAAGTGTAATCGAACATTAATCTAGGAACCTCAGCTGAAACCGATCGCCCAATCAACTCCCACTGTTGGAATACCCAATTTGGACCGCAACAAACCCAACTCCTGCTCCTCCCAGTTAAAAAAGCGCAAGTTTTACTGCCCAATTTCGCCCTTTCCACAACAGAACAGCGCCGATAAGAAAAGGTAAAATCTCCCTAAGTTGGACCGTTTAACATACATTTCATTTACAGCATGGACCTCAACTCTACAAAATCGTCTCAATCGGCTTCAACTCCCAATCTCTCAGCTCAATCGATAAAGAGTTCTGCATTACCGTCACCTAAGTTCATGTACCGACGGCATTCGGCTTCGGAATTAAAAACCGAATCGAATGCGCCTCTTGCGCGCCGCTACAGTATTGGTTCTGGGAGTAAACCAAATATAGTGAATAGATTAAAGAAGACCGTCTCGAGTGTCACTAATACAGGGATTAAGAAAAATACTACACTTCCAAAAAAGAGTACATTAAGCGAAAGTAATAGCGACACTGTGCCTAGTATTAAACCATCCACTTTGGTAAGAATACAAGTGCTTGGAAAGTTTGTTATTTTGAATGTTTTAGGTTGCCAAGTTTAAACGGAGCCTCTCTAATAAAGAAAATTGTCCTAGAAAGTAGTGGGGAAACGAACCTCTTTTATTATTGTGATATTTGTAGATGTTTTAAGATGTCTGTATTTTTGTATTTTATATTGATTGAAGTTTTGCTGATGTGGGAATTGTAATGTCTTTATGTATTTAATTTGTGGGCACGTCTTGTGTATTATGTCCTCATCAACTAAGTATGTTTACATAGCATGAAAGAGATTACATATCTTAGGATACCTATTACTGGTACTTCTGGATTACGATAGAAGGGTGGACAGACTCTGTATATACCTAGCTCTCAAATTCGGGCTCTACAAGATCGCGATTCTACCAAACCTCGCATGTGTTTGTTTACAGTGCCCATGAGTAACCTTAGGTTCTTTCTTGATAGTCCTGTGCAAAAACGCGCTAGGCTGCGAGATGCTCCTTTGAAGGCTTCTCTCGCATGGCGACAATCTAACATCATTTTGTGTTACACCTAGCCCTGTGCTGGGTTTGAGTGTCTTAAGTTATTTGCAAGTGGAAATAGTGGGCTCTAGACCATCAAACACATGTTTTGATTTCTAACTCATCTGCTTGCTCTAGTGCATGGTGACATGGGAAACCATACTAAACTGTATTCATTTTAAGAAGGTAGCGGTAGAACGTATAGGGAAGCTTTGACCTTCAGTATGATTGGTTAAAATACGAGTCGGTATTACACTGAAACATAAAACGAGTGGCGAATTTTGCAAGCTGGTAGTTTCTGTTGCCATCTAAACTGTTGAAGTGTCATTAACTGTTAATGTCAAAGATTTATTTCTGTTTGCAGTGCTGAATATTTCTACTTTACAATAACTTGGTGCCGTTTTATATTTTTCCTGTGTGTACTTATCTTCAAACACAGCGCCATCTACTACCTTCTTATAATGAATACACTATAGAAGTAATTTTACAGTGACCAAGTGCCTGTAGGGCAGTCCTACTATCACTGAAAATTCTGATAGTTTTGTTCTTTGGAATACAGTAGGAAGTTTGCCTAGATGGTTGGGTGATGTGGAAGTTTAGTTCTTTGGCGTAAATACTAGTGCCTGATGTTCCATTGTTTTAAATCCATCCGTGAAGATGAATATGTCTGGTTGGGATGTCACATCAAGGAAGATGTGATAGTTTTTCTCTAATATAGATTGAGGACTTAGTGAGTCCAATCGCCCTTCTAAGATAGGTAATACTTTGCCTGGAATTTGAGAATGGCCCAACTCAGTCCCCCCGTATTTTTCAGGTGCAAGGATGCCAGAGTGGCCTGCTCTCACATGGAGATCTACTGGAGGCAGACCCAGGGCCTCCATGAGGGCTATTTGAATTAACAGCGCGCCCGTGCAAGCAAGTCATTGCACATAGTGAAAATGTACTACGGTTGTGAGGCTGGTTTTAGGCCATCAGAAAATTGCTACGTAGCAGAGCATAGGTCTAAAACTGTGGTGTGCCCTATTTGCTTTTTCAGCTTTGAGCTCAATATGTTTGCTCCAATTCAGTTTTTTGTCAAGTTTGATTGCTAGATATTTCACTAACTGAAAATTGGAGGTGTTCTTGGAATAGCAGGGGAGTTCGAAGAGTGTTCTCTACACCATTCTTTGGTTGCTCTAAGAGCGAATTGTTTTAGTCTGCATGGAGTAGAGCCTCAATTTGCCCGTTATTAGTAGATAAATATATCGTCCGCATACACCAGCTCTTGTCATTGAGGCAACAGAGGAGGCTCTTTACAATTAAGTTCCACAGAAGCCTACCTTAGGGGCATCCTGTCACCACTGTGCACCTTAATATTTCATCGCCAACGCTGATGTGCACTGTTCTGAGATTTAGCAGGTGCACAATCCAGCCTCGTATGACTTTTGTTACTCTGTGGTGGCATAAAATCATTTTTAACGCATTTCCACAAAAATAAAAAAAAATGCGCTATTGTGGCCACTGTCCGTCCGCTCGTTGTGCGACGCTACTAGTTCTTTATCTTAAGAGCTATTGTTCTACTTTCTTCGCTATTTCGTTCGTTATGGTGTCGAGGCTTGCACCAAGAAAGGAATTTTTTCTGCGTTTATTGCTAAAAAAGTTATTGTAAAAAAACCAACAAACAGTTTTTTACATGTTCCATAATTTTACACGTTTGCCGTTTATTAACCATCCTAGAGATCATTTATAATTTTGTATTGTCTGTCTGTCCGTCTGTTCCTTTGCCTGTCTGTCCCTCTATCTGTCCGTGTGAACGATAATTTTGTTTAGAAATGTCCGATCGCTTTTACATCTCCGTTAGTTATGAACTGAATTGCATAAAATTCAATATGGGCATAGCCTTAGCCATATAATACGCAATGCCAAAAGTTGAGTCGAATCGATTCAAAATTCACTGTGCCCTTTTCGCATCTCGACCATTTATAAACCGAAATGCAAACTTTTTTTCTTATAAAAGTATTTGAATGAAATTTGATACATAGGCACTTGGAATAAAGGAAAATCTAACGCCAGTTTAAAAATTGGTTTTGCGCATGCGCAGTGCCAACTTTTTTATTTATGGAAGAATTTAAATGAAATTTGATACATAGGTGCTTGGAATAAAGGAAAATCTAGCGCCAGTTTAAAAATTTTATTTTTCCCATGCGCTGTGCCAACTTTTTTATCTATGGAAGTATTTAAGTGAAATTTGATACTTTGGCGCTTTGAACAAAGGAAAATCTAACATTAGTTTCAAAATTTAGGTTTGCGCATGCGCAGTTCCAACTTTCTTATTTAGAAAAGCATTGAAATGAAATTCTTGTTATAAACTGAAATTGAAATAGCATGTCAAAAATGGATTGCTCATGTGCAACGCTATCTTTCATATTTGTGGCCGGATTTTTACGATTTTAACAGAAGTTGCATCTTACAAATGGGAAATGAATGCAAGTGAAAATGCGCTTTATGTAAATCGTTTACGATTACTTTTTAACTTGTTATTATTTCGAAATGCGAAAACCGCTAGTTCAAACTGTTTGTAGTTCAGCGATCTCACAATGCAAGACTGACTGTAGATCTTCCTGAAGAGTATGCGTGTTGTTTAGGGTGCAGCGGAAACCATGTTAGCGCCATACTCCTTGTATGTATCTCGCACAGTCGTTCAAGTGTATTAAGGAGAAAAGACACTAATCTGTTTGGGGGTATGCTTTAGGTGTAGGTAATCGCCTTAGCTAAGCTTGAGGAATGCAATTTTTATCTCCCTCCAATTGCTTAGGTATGTAACTGAAAGCGATACAACCCATTCTCACTAGATGACAATAACATCCAGTCCCCATTGCAGGAGTGCTGGTATGCCATCTAATCAAGGTGATTTATATGCTGAGAACGATATTTCATCGCCCAGTGATTTTCCGTGGTAATACAGGAGGCTACTCTGGTCAGTTGAGATATGGCGCTGTGGTGGCTCCGAGAAAGTGGGCCACTCAGTAGCAGTACCTTGGCTGTCTCTGAAAGGTTATCCGTGTAGGAATTATCCTCTCGTCTGAGGCTAGCTGGGTTGTAAAATGAACTTCTCGTTAGAATTTTATTTAGGTGAGATGCAGAGGAAGTGGAACTCTTCTATGCCTCTCTTGACGCCTTCTAATATCCTTACATAGCCTTAGTTTTCTGCTTTTTGACCGCCCTGCACCACCACCAGGAGTAGTTATAACTTATAGGGCGCATTTTGGCAGTCCTCGGAGGACATGCCTGTTCAAGTGAGTTAGGTAAGATCATACTATGTCCTGTAAGTCGCAGGGCCCGAGAACCGTCCCCTAAAAGGTTTTTCTCCAAAGAGATGTTTGTAAAGATAAAGGGTTGTACCTATAATCGTTTCTTATGTGCGGGTTTCATTCCTTTTTATGTAATCCAGTGATTCATTGTCATTTGTATGTTGTTTGATGCTAGTAGGTATATAATGGAATGTTTATTTTAAGTTGCTTAAACCACTCCGCATTGTTGAATGGGCCTTTCCTTCTCTCTTCTAACAAAGCCACGGCAATTAACTGCTAATAAGATGGAAACTGTCAAACCATTGTTTTTGCGTGGTTGGTTACCTAATAAAAGGTTCCTCGTACCTACCATATGTCAATGATATGTGTTGTATGAAGGGTAGGTAATCTGTAAGGTTGCGTCCTCTTTCCACCCTCGTTCCTTTGGATCCAGAGGGTTCTCCACCCACAACGGAATCTGGTGGTAAGTCTTTAGCATGTTGCCTGACTGCACCTTTAAGTGGGGGAGAAAGAAGCGATGTCTGGGTTCATTTTCCTGACTGAGCGTTGAAACCAGGCGCGTCGGAAGGGGTTTGTTGACGTCATGGTGGGGAAACTGGGGTCTGCTTATGCATCCAAATGATTAATGCTAGGAAAAAAGGTTCTACGTCTTTTGTAGGAAATTTATTTTGTAAATACAAATGATTACCTATGAAAAAGTTTATAGTTTTTGAGACAGCTGGGCTACTTGGTGTGATTGTCAAAATAGGCTTTTGCGCCTCCAGTAAACTACTTCAAGCATTTCTAAACTGAGACAATCAATAGTTGAGTATGTATCCAAGCAACGGTACAATACAATTCTTTTTCAGCGTGTCAATTGTCATACGTTTTTGACACATGCCCTTTGTTTGTAAAAGTAAAATTGTGAACACCATCCGCTCAAATTTTTCGTATATACAATTCATAGCAATTATGTAGTTACTCGTGACTTCTGAGAATGCCGAGGAAAGCTTTACGAGTACAAATAGAATTAGATATTCAAGCTGTAGGTATACTTCTTCAGGGTAGGAATGATATAATGGTAAAGTAACTTGAAGGTCACATGTCCTGGTGTATGGTTGTGTCCAAATGGAAAAGTGTCCTTACAAATTTACATGCTTGACTCGTGCATTCAGACCACTGCTTTACCTCCAGTGTTTCCCCTTTTGTATCACGAACAGTTTATATTCTACAAAACGTTCCATACAGCACATACATTGGTAGAATTGCAGAGAGTAATCGGTAGGTACCGTCACCAAAGCAAAACTACAGTTTTGATTTTAGACAAAGACTTCCTTTATGCTGAATTGCTGCAATGGCAAAAGGGCAATACGGGTAATGTAATTGCTTCTTTCCAAACGTCACTCCATGAAGTTTTATATCCTTCCTCCACGGAAGGTACTTTATCTGGAGTTGATGTGGACTTACTAATGGAACCGTCAAAAATTTTCCCAGTAAACCACCGATTGGAAGAACCATATTATTTATTGTTTATTGTAGGGGATAATCGCGCCCAAGATTGAAATAAGCACTCGAGCTACGGTTGAGCAAATTGTATGCTCGAACGACCGCGCCAAATCGAGCCATTACGTTGTGAATCCAAAAACCATTCCTTCGAATTACATCCCGCGCGATTTAAAACGCAACAATAAACTACCTCGGCAGAAGAGGGTTTGTCATTCTGTGGAATATCATCGGTAAGCTGTCCCCGTTACTTGCCTACACTAATTGGCGATTGTCAGTTCCAGAAAGTGCGTCCCGAATAGACCGCAGTTCGAAGCAAAACCGCCCTTTGTGTTTAAGAAGCCAGAAGATGAACTTCTATCCAGAAAACCGCAAGGTATCAACGGTAATTATGCGACCAAATTTTTTCAAGTGAAGAAATTGGAGCTTTCCCCAAGGTCGAGATCGAGAGATGTTCCATCAAGTAACCAAGGTTTTTTTCAACGAAATCTATTCGTTTTCTAAATTTCTACTTTTAGAACAGAAGTGTTCGTGTGGAAGCATTGAGGAATGTCATGTATGTGCGAAATACAGCAGCTATTTCGACGGCGGAGCAATGGTACGATTTTTTTAACTAAAGGGTCAATTAAATTGGACGAATCTCACTACTAGCCGAGTTGAGCACTTTATTGGCGTTAGCTATTATGCAAATTCGTCCAATGCAACCAGACCCTTAAGGTAAATAAAATGATGTGTTCAGTTTACAGGTGAATGATCACTACACAACCGCAGATGCATTTGTTCGAAAGGTTTGTAGCGATCCGGCCAGTGGAAGTACCGATAATGCAATTCGTTGCAAACGTTCGCCTAATACCCCAGAACAGTACGGAACTCCTCCTCTCTGCAGCAACAAATATTGCGTTCGTTGCACGCTAAAACGAAGGCCAAGCGTTGCGAAACAAATACACGACAGGCTCGTGAGGACTTTAGATTTTTGTTCGCCGGTGAACAATTGCGATGAAGAACGAGATCCGGCTTCATGTACTATCACCGCGTGTTGCAGTCCCAAATCTAGAAATTGTGATCAAGGGTTTTACGAAAATTATGAACTATATCGGTGTTGATTGAATTTTTACATGGTTTATACACTATACTTCTTCTATTATAGTACCATATAATAATAATGCTATTGCTTACAGGGGCGCTTTAAATAAATATTGATATGTATATAATGTGCAAATTGAGATAAACAAATCCAAAAATGATGTTTTCAATTTCTCAAATAGATGACTATATCTACCGTGTGTCCCAGATTGAACACACCGATAAGCAAACCTCACGAAGGATCCACAAAGACTTTGGTATGGATTTGAAGTTAGCGGTCAACGTACGTTATTGCGCTGGCCTGATACTAGAAAGATTGAAGTAGCACGTTGAGCGCTAATGTCAAAGGTCTGCGCGAAAAAATACATTGCAGTCTCCCTATCGTGCGTTTTATCTGGGACACACTGTATTTACGCCAGAAAACAAATATGCAAAATTGAGGCCAAAACAATAAATAATAAACATTCATCAAGATATATGGCCACAAAACTTTTCAACCATCTTCCACCACATATCCGCAACTGCGCCTCCTCGAGGGAGTTCAAGAAAATGGCCCATAACCTGTTCGTCGATCACCCCTACCACAGTACTGGAGAGTATTTGGTTCAAAAGCTGTGATAACCTTATTTTTAATGTTTGTTTGTTACTGTTACTGTACTGATCTGTCTTCATGTCTTTTTACACTTATTTGTACGATCACTAATTGACAATCCAATATTACTTAATGTAATCGAAATGGAGTTAAAGAAAGAAAGAAACATTTTTCTGGAATAATGACCAACACATTGAAGGAGACCAGACGCATATTTTTGGACCACGCATTCACATATGGGTACTCGTCAAAGTTTAATAAATGTTGCATATCTCTAAAGAACGGAAGAAGGTATATATATTAAACATAGTACTGTACTGTACTGTGTCAATAAAGCAATACAGTCACTGGCAAAGAAACGTGAACCACGGCGAGATTGGACACGTTCGCCGCAACTGCCAAAAACCATTGCAGCAGCCGGAAAA